GAATATGAGAGAGTAATGGCTTAAGTAGCTCTGGCTTTTGGCTCTCTGTAGGTAAGGACTGGAGTAGAAGTCCGTACGGGGTCTCATCGTTTATGACTGACGATGGTGAGCGGTTTATGAGGTACCCTGCTGTTTTGAAAATCTCAGGCCACATTCCTTCTGGTAAGTTGGCTGATTCTTTAATGTCATACTGACATTCGTTGCACTCAGTTTGCTATCAAACTCAAGAGCAAACTTAGAAATCTCCTCCTCAAACCTACAAGTCACCATACATATCTTGGCTTATCACACCAACAACAGAAGCAATACTACTCAACGATTGCTGCAAACCCTTCTACTACATCTGTTTATGCTACATACATCACGGCATATCATTTGGACACTCATTGAACAAGTTATTAAGAAAATCTCCTCCTTAAGGGGGTGGGCCAATACTACCACATGGCATATCTCTACCAACTAGAGGCCTAGGAACATGAACGATAGCTCTAGAAGCTTCTACAACCCTCTATGATTCATTACACGTCATCGCTCCTTAGTTACCCACAAGATTGGTTAAGTTATGACATAATTTGTCTATAGGTACTCTGACCTTGGACCTCCTTTTCACTTCCTATAGGCTAGGAACCCAAGAGATGGTTCTATGGGATTCTCTTACGTTCACTACATGATTAGCAAGCTAGTTGTGGGTCGCACTTGATTTCTAATACATTTACCAAGCCTGGTTAGTCATGGAAAGTCATGGAAAATGAGAGAACTACACTCCTTTGGCATAAATAGGATTGCCCTTTCCTTAAGAAAGGGCAAGCAGGCAATACAGTAAATAGACTAGCACATACTTCTACGTCTTTTCCAAGCTTCCAAGCATTGATCTTGTTATTCTCTGTTTTTGAAAAGTCAGTGAGGTGCTAACCTCTGACTTACCCCTGAGTTCTCAGACTCAACATTTGTTGCAACTTGTCTAAACCACTTCACCACATCATACACCTGATTGCTGCGTTGTGGAATAGTCTAAGCTACAACCCTTTGGCTCTGTTTCCTAAGACAGTGTGTTGTCTTAGTAAATTCATCCCTTCCTTGGGTGGCTAGATTCTCATATCTGGTGCACCCAACATTACATTTAAGTGCGCGTGATCGTGTGATTATCGTACGGCCTGACCTCTCTATTCCTCCGTTCGGCTCTGCTGTATAGGGTGGAGAGATGTGGATTTCATATCCTTCGTCCTTAATCCAACCCTCCCATTCATTTCCAAGTGAGGCTTCACCATCTAGGTGGAATATGCGGATTTGGAACCCCCATCTTCTCCGTACGTAGCTCACAAAGTCCTTAATCGTCTGTAGGAGCGTTCCTTGTGTTTTATCCTTAATAGTATAGACGTGGTTCATGCGGCAATTATCACATAGGAAGTGTAAGGCTTGTGTGCTGCCATCGTACGCCTCTGGCATTTGGATTAGGTCAAGGTGGACCTTCTCATATGGCACTTTTGAGCGTGGTGTAGATCTTCTAGAAATCTGCCTTGTAGCATGCATAAGTCGGCATACTTCGCACTGAGTATCGTACGAGTCTAGGTCTGTGACGATAACTCCAGTGGTCTTCTCTTGGAGTTTTCTAATGGCGTTTTGGTTTAGGTGTCCCATGCGGTTATGCCATTCCTTTGCAGTGCCTTTTAGGTCCTTACGAGGTCCGTACGAAGATAGGACAACGTTGTCCTGTTGATCCTGAGTGCTATAAACAGCTCAGGTAGGCTCATTTTTGATGTATTCAAGAACCCATTGTCCATGAAGCATTGGAATGTTGCAGAACGGTTGATCTCCGTACGTAAGTCCTTGTGCAGCGGTATTCCAATGAACTCCCTTTTGGATGAATCGTCTAAGAGAAGCGACTGAAGTGTGGAAGGATGAAATGAGAGCTGTATCTGTAAGGGTGATAGTCCATAGAGACTTCTTATCCTCCCCGTTTTGGACTGTAATATCTACAGACCCAAACGCTTCAATCTTCACCCTTTGGTCTCCAGCTAAGAGATAGCTATTATCTTGACATTCTTGGATATTGTAGAACCTCGTACGGTTGTTGCAGACGTGAATTGTAGCTCCAGAGTCGAGAATTATGCTTTTAGAGAGCTCATAGGCTGAGGTTTTCGGCTTTAGTCCTTGGGAGACTTGGAAGACTGTAGTGAAAGACATAGGTGGATCTGTATTCGTACGGGATTGTACTCCATTCAGGTTGTTGAAATTGTTCTGTTCTTCTGCCTTTTGGATAACGTACTGGAATCCTGGTTTGTCACTTATATAGGCCTCTACTTTAGCTTCAATCTCTTTATTTGGGCGCCATTGCCTCGTACGCTTTGACTTCATCACATAGAGGCAGTCCCGCCACTTGTGTGTTGTTCCGCAAGGGCAGTCTAGTCGAGCCTGGTTTTTCTGTTTTCTGCCTCTCTGACCTTGCTGACCTTGTTGTAGGTTGTTCGTACGGCCTTGGAGCGTTGGCTGTAGGTCGCTATTGTCATCCTCTTGTAGTGCGAAAACTCCATGTTCCCCCCTAGGTTTCTGGGTGAATCTCTCTTGCCTACGGTTGGTTCTATACTGTCGTAGGACCTCCTCAAATTTGTACGACTTTGTCTGCTTCTCTAGCTTGTGTTTCCATGGTCCTCGGAATTCGCAAGGTCCTATTGCATCAAGGAAGGTATAGATAGCGTCGTGAGGGTCGATAACCTCTGTTGCCTGTAGCGTACGGCCTTGAGTGTATAGATTCTCCCAGTTTAGGAGCCAGTCTTCAAGGTCCTTGCCTCTTTGCATTTTTGCAGCCTTTTGCCATTCTAGTCTCCATTCTCCGATTCTAGCTCTTTGAGTAGGTGCGAATCGGTCTCGTAGCTTTCTAAGCATATCGTACGGAGTATCGCAATTGTAGGTATAGGGTAGGAAGTCGCGTTTGATGGTTTCTTGGATCTTAGAGCGAAGCCCCTGAATTGCTTCCTCCTGCTTTTCCCACACCTTGCGCTCATATTGGAAATCAGCTTGTAGGTTTCGAAGCTGTTCCTTCTGATCTTCTGTAAGAGATGCGTACGTAATTGGCGTTAATTGCCGTTGGCCTTCTACTGAAGGTTGGATGGTCTGGCTACCTGAAGCTCTTGTTGACACTCCAGGTCTTGTTTGAGCAGTAACATGTCATACTGACATTCGTTGCACTCAGTTTGCTATCAAACTCAAGAGCAAACTTGGAAATCTCCTCCTCAAACCTACAAGTCACTATACATATTTTGGCTTATCACACCAACAACAAGAGCAATACTACTCAACGATTGCTACAACCATCTATGATTCATTACACGTCATCGCTCCTTAGTTACTGGGCCGATATTACCACATAGCATATCTCTACAACCCTCTATGATTCATTACATGACATCACTCATACTACCACATGACATATCTCTACCAACTAGAGGCCTAGGAGCATGAACGATAGCTCTAAAAGCTCCTACGAACCTCTATGATTCATTACATGTCATCGCTCTTCAGTTACCCACAAGATTGGTTAAGTTATGACATAATTTGTCTATGACATAATTTGTCTATAGGGGTACTCTGACCTTGGACCTCCTTTTACTTCCTATAGGCTACGAACCTAAGAGATGGTTCTATGGGATTCTCTTACGTCGACTACAGTTACCAAGCCTGGTAAGTCATGGAAAGTCTTGGAAAATGAGAGAACTACATTCCTTTGGCATAAATAGGATTGCCCTTTCCTTAAGAAAGGGCAAGCAGACAATAAAGTAAATCGACTATCACATACTTCCACGTCTTTTCCACGCTTCCAAGCATTTATCTTGTTACTCCTTGTTTCTGAAAAGTCAGTGAGGTGTTAACCTCTGACTTACCCCTGAGTTCCCAGACTCAACATTTGTTGCAACTTGTCTGAACCACTTCACTACATCACACACCTGATTGCTGCGTTGTGGAATAGTCTAAGCTACGACCCTTTGGCTCTGTTTTCTAAGACAGTGTGTTGTCTTAGTAAATTCATCCCTTCCTTGGGTGGCTAGATTCTCACATCTGGTGCACCCACCATTACATAACACCACCACCAGCTTGCGTGGCACTCCGTACGAACTCAGGAATAGGTCGAATGGGCTGTAGGAGTGTAGGAGGGTCCTCGATTGATGGATCGATATACCCCCATACTCCTGCCTTCATTGAAGCAGTTTTGATAGTCTCTATCCACTCGTCCCAGTTGTTACGACGGAACAAGAAGGCTGGCCAACTACAGGACAGGAAGGAGGGAGGTCGCATGAGACTGGCCCTGGTACCTGGAGGGGCAGCGGGGAATAGTAGTTCCAAAAGTATCACGTGACGGACTCGCAGGATGATGAGAAGAGTCCTAAGAGTCCAGGACTCCGAGGACTCGAGTGAGTTCCCAGGAGTCCACTAGGCACGTGACGGACTCGCAGGATGATGAGAAGAATCCTAAGAGTCCAGGACTCTGAGGACTCGAGTGAGTTCCCAGGAGTCCACTAGGCACGACGCCACTATATAAGTAGATAGTATTTCCTTAGATAGGAGCTTCGTGCTCAACTCAATACAGTATTTGTTATATACTAGTAACGTGTTACTTGAAGCCTTTGTGTCTGATCCCCTGCCTCCTCTGATAAGTAAACCTTTACGCAAGAGAACCTCTGTGCCTTCTATCGTTTAGAAGTCAGCGTTACACCAGTCTCTAGGGCTTGTGAGGACCACCCCCGCCTTCTGTAGGGTCGCCATAATGATGGTTTTTTCGACTCCAGGACACAGGACTTGATTTTGGTCCGTTCGGGTTTCTATAGGCTTCAAAATGCGTCTTGGAGTTGCTCCGGGCTCATAACTGTTGAGTAACCTGTGTGTTGTTCTGTCTATCTATTGCTGCCTGAAATTGCGGGGAAGTGGTGCTGAGATCATGTGACATATTACAACAATTACTTACTGGTTGAAACTGTCTGGTTAATGTGAGGATCACACGTGATGTCGAAGATGAAGATGAAGATGAAGATGAAGATGAAGATGAAGATGAAGATGAAGATGTCGTCTGATCTGGAGAACAAAAGCTATTTTCCTCACACGAAAACCCAGAACACCTTGCAAATCATAATCAAAAACCCAAGTAATCCAAAAGCAAAGTATAGTATACTAACGCCAAAAAGCTCTCAAGAAAGGTCACAATTCCACTCCACAACTTGCATTAACTTAACCGCCCGTCCCCCAGCACCATCTTCCACCTTGCCCTCACATTCCCACCTCAATATGGCAATTATTTACTCCCCGGAACCCCCAACTTATCAATTCGCGAAAAGGGCTGGATTATATGCAGCGCTAAAGTGAGAGTAGTGCTCGAGCGCGACTCAAAAAAGAAACGAGTGTGCGAGATGCAGTGTACTTCGGAAGAGGTGAAAAGAGGATCCGATCATCGTCGTGTCCGTTAACCCGGCGAGGAACGCCTTACATGATGAATCCAAAGGCCGCGAAGATACCCGCAAACACGATGGCTAGGCCGTAGCTTCTCCCCAGATCGAGGGCGGCGCGGGCTGTATTGGGCTTGGCCACGGTAGACCCATCCGTAGTGCTGCCGTCACTGAATCCGTTGTGAACGACTGGGCTGGTGCTTGTTGCTGCTGGTGCGCCGCTGGTGGTGGTGGCTGTGGCGTTGCCTCGCGAAGGGTCCTGGGCGCCGCAGGGGTGGCCCTCGGTGCAGGCGGCCTGGCAGGTGTTGACGCCGCCGCAGCCGGCGACGCATTGCTGGCCCCATTCGATGCAGATGTGGAAGGGGATGGTCAAGCTGTACTCGGTCATGTTGGGGGAGAGGCCGTTGCCGCAGGTGCAGTCGTATGTCAGGGTTTCCTGTGGATGTGTCAGATGGGGTCAAATGAGTGTTAACGGATGATGGGGGGGACTTACAGGATGGCAGTCGTTCGCGGCGGTGGTCATGGAGCCACCTGGGTATTGTGTGCACAGCAGCGGGCAAGTGCTCGTTTGGTCGTTGCACCACACCTCTGTTGCAGTTAGTATAGGTATAGGGCGTCGAGGTGTTGGGGATGCTGACTTCTTGTTGATAGAAGCACGGACGATGGCTCGATATGGTACTGCTCTGCAACGGCAACCTCTTGAGCAGCAACTGCCACAGCGAGGGCGGCAACGCCGAAGACCTTGGACCAGAACATGTCGAGTAATCTTTCGTTTGAAGGGGTAAAGCGTAGGTATATTTGTATGGAGGGGGGTAAATAGTCTATGGATATCAATGTTAGCTATCCATATGTCTATGACACGTCCCTTTTGGCACAATATGGCGGCGAACGGACAGACTCGAGCGTGGCGGTGGAGTCAGTGGGAAGGACCTACGATCTGGGAGGTAGCTTCAGTCGATGCAGAAAACCAAATGTCAAAGAGCACGAAACGGAAAACGAAGGTATTAGAGAGAAAGAGGCGCAATGCGAACCTGAATGGGAGTGACTGGGGATTGAAGAAGAGAGAGGAGAGAACGAGGGAGTGGGCGGAGTAGGGATAGAAGAAGCTCATTAAAGTAAGGTAGGAGAAGAATGAGATACAACAAGAAGTGGGGACAGGTCTTGGGGTGATTGATAGCCCGAGCGTCAAGGGTTATACAGGATACAGGATACAGGATACAGGATACAGTATAGAGTAGTATGGACTTGTGGTTAGATTGTCGTCCTTGGTACGTTTGCAGCTACCCAAGCACAAATACAGCGTGTAGATCCCAACTCATGATCCATAATGATCCCTATTGTTGACTTTCCTTGACATCATAATGGGAGGTTTTGTATAAAAGATTCGAATCAGGACGCACTTGGACGGAGGGGGAGGACGGAGGAGGACTAGGTTGATTGGAGGAGGTCTAACAGAGGTTGATTGGAGAGACCTAGGAGGCGGCTTCGTATAGAAACATGCGGGGTTAATGGAACTTTCTATACTTGGATATGTGGCGAATACGATAATATAGATGCCGTGCCGTGAACATTAGGACACCAGGAAAAGCCTCAACAATGGCCCCGAGACTACCGAGGACGGAGTAGTAATCGTGTCTATTTGCGGGAAATGGGAGTCCGAAAAAAAATGTCCCACTACTCGAGTACTTGAGAGCATCCTTGGCAACAATTTCCCACCAATAATAACCCCGGTCACTGGCGAGGCTGGCAGAGCCTCGTTTTCCTCTGCATTTAATACGCTAGACTTGGTCAGGTATGGCGTCGCAGTGTTTGGGACGCGCCTTCCCCACATTCCTACATTCCTGAGTCGCCCGCCATAGCCAAAACATTCCCAAAGCATCCATACTGTATGTATCTTCAATCCCTTCCATCTTGGTCGTTACCAAACTCTAATCGCGAGACTTCAAGTCCATAACACGGCTTTGCTCTGCGACGCCTGTTGTGCCCGACCACCTCCCAAAGCCAGCCCTGACGTGGTGGCGACAGGGGTGCACACACACAACAAGGCCTCTCGGACCCATCTACCCCGTGCGCCATCCCGAGCAACTGTCGATGGATGTAGCTGGCGATCGCAGGCTCCTCATCCACGGATTCGAAAGCGTCGACCATGGCGACGACGAAAGCAGGACGTTCCCAGCCTCCGCTACGCCCCTCCCGCTGACGACCGAGACATCCTCCCCCATCACCTCGCCCCCTTACTGGGTCCAGTCGCACAAGCGGAGCGCGTCTCAGGTCTCGGTAGACTCGGTTTTACATGGCGGTATCACGCTGCACGATAATACCACCGGATACTCGGACAGCAACGACGCGTGCTGGGCGAGGAGTGTCACGATTGACGAGCATGCGGTGGTCAATGGCAATAGGACAGGCATAGGCGCATTTGTCGTGTGGAACATAACGATCGAGACGCTGAGTGTATGCCGTCGTTGGTCCCCTGTACACAGTACCTTTGCTGACAGTCTCTGAAGGGAAGCAAAATACACTTGCGAAAGCGGTACTCGGAGTTCGACACGTTGCGGCGCAACCTCCTGATGACCTTTCCGCTCTCCGAAGCTTCCATGCCGCCCCTACCTCCAAAGGGCGTCGTCTCTAAATTCCGGCCCAAGTTCTTGGATCAGCGAAGAATTGGCTTACAGTATTTCTTGAAGTATGCCCGAAATCCAGAACTTCCCTACCGATCACCACCACGATACACCATGCTGACTCCATTTTTTGCAGTTGTATACTTCTTAACCCCGAGTTCTCCAGCTCGCCAGTCATGAAAGACTTTCTATTTACATAACTTGGTTGCAGATGGGTACGGCTTTGCGAGACATATTCGCGGCCTTTTTTGTTTTGTATATACCGCCTGTGTGGGTGGCTTGATAGCGTTAGCTCGAAAGTTGTTTCGAGTATAGGTAACAGAAGCACACGACTAAATGATTAGCTGCCGTCTGAAACATAATCTTGGGTTCTAGACTATTATCTCTTGTTCTGTCTGGTGGTGGTTCCTCTTGCAGTTTGCACGTTTGCGAATGGCTGAAGAGCTGGCGAGCTTTCACTGTACCGCCTACTATTATAATAGTTGAAGTCCTCAGGCTGATATGACTTTTAAAGTGAATGAGGGGTAGGTAGTAGAAGTTATCTACCATCTTTCATCAATGTTATCGCGATATCAAAGCCGAGAACCATAAAAAAAGCGATACCTCCGCGTCATCGCAAGGCTGGGCAGCCTTGGGGCTCGTAAAAATAGCCCACCAAAACCACGTATCCAGCATCCACGGCGCCACCAAAGCCATTGGGGATTACCACATGCATGTGGAGCGCCCATCATGAAGCAAGGCTAATGTTGGTGGGATGATACGCAAGTCCCGTGGCTACTGTCTTTGCTTCTATCCGTAACTTCCTGGGGCTTAAGGGTTTGAAGAGTATATATTACGGTACGATACTTCAAGCTTATTCATAGCTGGATGAGATCGGATCTGCGGTATGCTTCTTGAGCCATAAGGATATCATTTTTCTTTCATATCACACATTTACTTGGCAGGGACTCACGCGGGGTGGAAATACGAGTTCCCAACACCTCACCATGGCATCCAACGAGCCATCCTCCCCAGGCCATCAACCACAAGATGCGACCTCCTCCGAAATCTCCGTGGTCCCCGACTCCAACAAACCCCCGGAAACCCGAAGACACAGCCACCACCCCTCTATCAGCTCCCGCCACTCCTCGCATCAAGAATACATTGACTCCCTCCCCGTCCCACCCCCCTCAGAACTCGCACGCATCGAGTCCGTCCAGATCCAGAAAGAGGACGAGAAGACCCACCGCCAGAGTCTCGATGCGGATAGCTCGGACCATCGTCGGCTTAGTGAGGGAGGGAGGGGAAGGAATGCGGCTGCTGAGTTGATACAACGAAATTATAGGGGGTACAGGGAACGTAGACAGATGAGAGGCTGGGGACTGGATCCGGGGAGTAGGTGGGTTGAGGCGTTTAAGGAGGCGAGATATCGGTATTTGACGACGCCAAGGCCGAGGAGTAGTCTTGATGAGGCTGCGTCCAGACCTGGCACAGCTGGGGGTGATGATAGTCCGGTGTCGGCTTCGGGGAAGCGGTTGAGTGGTGCTGCGAGGGCGAATTGGACGAAAGTCGGCACGATTGTGAAGAGGGCGGCGAATGACGAGGATTCGAGCAGTGAGAGTAGCGGGGAGGATGAGACGGCGGGGGAGATCCGGAGGTTGAGGGCTGAGAAGAAGGAGGAGAGGATGAGGTCGGCGAAGACGATGGATTTGCAGTATTGGCTGGAGATGGTGGATGTGAGGCATCGGTATGGGAGTAATCTGCGGACGTATCATCAGGAGTGGCAGAGGGCGGAGACGAAGGAGAATTTCTTTTATTGGTTGGATTATGGGGAGGGAAGGCGGATTGAGTGTGCGGGGTGTCCGAGGGAGAGGTTGGAGAGGGAGATGGTCAGGTATCTTAGTAAGGAGGAGAGACTGGATTATCTGGTTAAGATTGATGGGGAGGGGAAGCTCTGTTGGGCGAAGGACGGGGCAAGGATCGATGCGACTACCAAATATCGGGACAGTCTCCATGGTATAGTCCCAATCGATAGCGACGCCCCGATGTTCAAACCCGAAGACGGCGACCACACCACAGAACCACCCCACGCCGGCTCCTCCTCGTCCTCCTCCTCAGACTCCGAAAAAGAAGCCGAGGCGCACCACTATGCAACTGACAATTTCGACAACGCGCGAGGCGTCAAGAAAGTCAAGCACGTCTCCCCCTCCACAATCTTCAACAAGCTCCTCCGTAGCTCCGTCAAGAAGAACACCTGGATCTTCGTCGTTGATACCAATTTCCGACTCTACGTCGGTATCAAGCAGTCTGGTGCCTTCCAGCACTCGTCTTTCCTGCATGGCTCGAGGATATCAGCTGCGGGGTTGATCAAGATTAAAGATGGCCGCCTGGACAAGTTGTCCCCGCTGTCAGGGCACTATCGCCCACCCGTCTCGTCATTCCGCGCGTTCGTGCATGCTCTCAGAGAAGGGGGTGCTGACATGTCACACGTCTCCATCTCGCGCTCCTACGCGGTGCTTGTGGGGTTGGAAGCGTATGTGAAGACGCGGAGAAGGGGGAAGAGGGTGGTGGGGAAGTTGTTACATGGACGGGGTAAGATACTCAGTCCGGACGAGGTGAGGAAGAGGGAGGAGGAAGAGAGGGATAAGAGTGAGAGTGCGGAGAGGGAGAGGAGGGTGCTGGAGTTGCAGAGGGAGGAGGGGGGGAGGGGGGATATGGGGCTTTTGAGGAGGTTGCATATTGGGATTTCGCCGAGGGAGAGAAAGAGGGGTGAGGAGGGGGGTGAGTGAGATGGGGGGGTATAGGGGGGTTGTCGATATATACAGCCATAACAGAGGCATAACGAAGGCATACCGTGGGCATAGAGGCGGCTAGAAATGATGATACCCATTTGTATTTTAGTGCTTATATCATAAAATTCAAATAAATACTCGCTGTAAACCAAAAGTTATATTTTTTGGAATTAACCCTTTATCTGAGAGTCAATAACCGCAAAACTATATAATAGAGCTTCTTCCCTTGGTTTAATTTCTGAGTAACTTGCTTGCTAAAAAATCTTTGGGGCAATAAGTATAGTTCCAGTGATTAAATTCCATTGTTGTATTCACAGTTGCTATAAACACGTACAGTGGCTGCAGGGCCTCGCTGAGATATCGCGACAACTCGACAACCAAAACACGAATGACAAAGCAAGCAAAAACTCTCAAACAATTCCCAAATGTACCAGATGAAATAAAGTGAATTAACCGACCAGATTCAGACCCAGTAATTGACCTCGTCTCGACCCGCACCTTCCTTCCCTGCCCTGGTACATCACCACACTGCGGCATCGGGTTACCAAGTACCCCCAAAAATGCACCACGAATAGAGAGATTGCGCCATCTCACGACCTCAATCGAAACCCACCACCTCCATCCCCCGAATGATTGTCGAAACATGCACCACAGACGCCGGACCTCAATTCATGGCCTCACACCCCGCTCCGTCGCGGCCGAGTCGAAGGCCTAGAGGCGTCGCTCCGACAGAGAGCGAGCTCAATGTGTACCCCCCGCGCGACGACAAGCACCATATCACCGTCGATACGAAGCCGCCGAAGAAGACGCTGAAGAGGCCCAGGAGGTTGAGTGAGGCGGAACAACAACATGACCACTTTGGGTTGAAGAAATCGCGGTTCGCGAGGATTGAGGTTGATGCGAGGCCGCGGGCGCAGCCTAGGAAGTTAGCTGTTGCCAAACCAGCCAAAACTGCGGCCGCGAAACCGGAGGCGGCGGCGGCGCAGCGGCAGATACGGAATAAGGAGGAGGGTACGGAAGAGAGAGTGCTGCCGAAGTATGCGGAGAAGGCGAGTAATGGGATTAAGCATGAGCTGGAGAGACTGCAGCCTGATGGGAAGGATACGATGAGCGAGACGCGGAAGCTGAGGTCTCAGGAGGGAACGAGGTTTAAGAGTGAATTGGCGTCTTACTTTCCCGATTACGATGTTGTAATTGGGAATGAGGCTGCTGAGGAGACGCGTAAGTTTACATGCTACTGGATTATTTACTGTTGTGAGGTTCGATTTCTAACTTTTGTACAGATTCGATTGATGTTGGGACGTCCATTATAATTTCTGATAGCAACCCTCCGACACAACAAAAGCAGCCAAATAATCCGAGTCCTGAAAAGAAACAGCTGGAGAATGGGGCAGGCAAAGCGGCATTTAAAAATTTCACTGACTCTCTGTTCTATGACCTGTATCAGGCACAGAAGGTGGACTTTACATTTTTGGACAGGCATACAAAGGCTACCCCACAGTCAGACCCTCTACCGGATTCATACTATGACATTCCCCATCGACGGGCAAAGCGGTTGGAGATGTCCATCCGTAATTCCGAGAAAGGGCGGGCACAGCATGAGAAAGATCACGTGGCCCGATTACTCGAAGGACTGCAAGGTCATGACTGGTTAAAAGTGATGGGCGTCAGTGGAATAACTGAGAGCAAGAAGAAGGAGTATGAGCCGGCTCGGGAACACTTCATCAAAGGATGCCAGGGGATTCTTGATAAGTTCCGGTCATGGAGAGACGAAGAGAAGCGCCGCAAGCTCGAGAAGGACAAGGCTTTAGCGGAGGCAGCTCAGGAAGGAGAAGACGAGAGCGAGGAAAGCGACGGCGATCCCCCGGATTACAGCGACGTCGACCACGCAGCAGCGATGCAGCTCCACGAGGAAGCCATTGCTCGCTCCGCACCGCACACCCCTACTAAACGGAGGGCGGAAAAGCGGGCAAAAGTCGAGTTTGAGGAACTGCCTATGGATAGGGTGGAGAAGGAGTTCAAGTCGTTTTACAAAAAGCCGCATTTGCGACAGGCTGCGTTGGGGAAGCAAAGGAAGAGCGGGAGGAGCGTGTCGGCGTGGGGTCATCCTATCCCTGAGGTACCGGAGGTGGACTTTGATCTGCCAGAGGAGGTGAAGGAGGAGGCGGCGAAGGATACTACGGCTAGGAGGAAGAGGAGGGTTAGGAGGGAGAGTTTGAGTAAGGAGGGTTAGGCGGGAGAGCTTGGGCAAAGAATGAACCGTGATGTCGGGGCGAATCGAAAGTGCTTCATTTAGCTACTGACGTGAAACGGAAGCGCTGGGTGGTTTGTATGAGTTTAGTTTGGTTTGGGAGGCGCGGGCGTCGGAGTTGGCAAGACTTGGGGTCTTTGTATGAGGTATGCATTACTATTGCTGGTTGGATTGCTTTTGTATAAGTACAGAATATTCAATAATCCGATACCCTGAACATAAGAACAAGAACAATCTTTTTACCAAAAGCAAATATTGCGAGTTGATATTCACTGTGGTTGTGGCACGTGATCTATATAATTTGGGGCCTTGCCAAGTAACTTATGGTTCACAGCTCGATCGAGTCCAGAGCAAATAAATGTCACACTTTCCAGAGCTTCCACTATCACCAAGTGGGCGCCTTAGACAATCACAGCGCCCGCAGTAGATAAACATTCCCATAATAAAGCACAATAAACAAAATTTTACTTTGACCTCACCCACCTTGGTAGCTTTCATCACTCCAACCTCAGCGCAAGACCACTCCTGCGATCCTCAGGTTTGGCGCAAGCTCCGCGACACATCCTGAACTCTCCATCTACACAAACCTCGCAACCACGCCCCGCGACGCGCAAGACCACCCCAACAACCCGATCGCAAACACCGCAGCCACTCCATGACATCTCGGCCCACGTGAAGCAGCGCGCATATGAATGAGGCTCCACGCAGGCCCGGGCGCGAGTCGTGAAGGCGGCCACTCAACCACCGAGGAGCAACCGCGATAGCCACCCATCCACCACCACGACGATGGACGGCGCGGCGCCACGCGCCGCCACTGCGCCCGTCGAGGAGTACTCGCCCGGCTTCGTCGTCTCGCACCAGAAGCTCGAGGTCGAGATCGACTTTGTGGGCCGCTGCATCGTCGGCCGCACCGAAATCACGATCCTGCCCCAGCGCCGCGACCTGAAGGAACTGAGGTTCAATGCGCGACAGTGCCAGATACCGGGGAGGGGAGTGCTGGTTAATGGACGCGCGGCGGAGATACAATATGAGGACCCTTATGAGCGGGTTAATGTCCCCGACTATATCATCCAGAACGCGCACCAGCATGAGTTGCAGAAGGATAGGGTGAAGTCGTTGCTCAACTCCCGCACCATACCGGGCGAGTTAACCATCTATATGCCCAGATCGGTGAAAATCGAAGACGTCAATCCTTTCTCGGAGCAGGCACCGAGCGCGGTGAAGGACAGGGCGCTGGTGAATGCGAGGGCGTCGTCGGTGACTGCGAATGGGACTTCGATTACTGCCTCCACGCCTATATTAACTCCGAAGTCGAGCGAAGATCAGTCGATACGTTTTGCGCCACTGACGGTATCGATACCATTCTCGGTGAAGAGCTTCAGGGATGGGCTGCACTGGGTGGGCGTGCAGGATGGAGATACGAAATACCCACATGTGTATACGAGGCATTCGCTGTTTGGCGGCGTTGCAAGTTGCATATTTCCTTGCATCGACAATCCGGCAATGAGGTGCACATGGGAAGTAGTGATCAAGTGCGGTAGGACCTTGGGAGATGCCATGAGGCGGACAACACCGCTGAAAGCAAATGGGATACACTCGAACAAAAAGGGACTGGAAAGCCTCAAGGCCAACGGGGTTAATGGGGCTCACGGGCACTCTGAGTCTTCGGAATTTGTTATAGATCTCAGCAATGAGGACAGTCTTCTGGAGATGAATGCTGTCTGTGCAGGGGAGCTCATTCACGAAGTGCAAGACCCAAAGGACATCACCAAGAAGATCGTTACCTACCACTGCAGCACCCAAGTTGGGCCAGAACATATCGGCTTCTCTGTGGGCCCTTTCGAGCAGGTGGATCTCTCCGAATTCCGCGAGGATGAAGGGAATGACAAGCTTGGCCAGAAAGCCGTCAAAGTCTACGGTTACTGTTTACCAGGTCGCGCGGATGAGCTCAAGAACACGTGCGAGACGATGGCATTCGCTGTCGATTGGTTTTCTCTCAATTTCGGCTCCTACCCCTTTCCCGACTACAAAGTCTGCTTTGTGGACGACCAGATCTCGGATACTATATCGGTGGCAGCTCTGTCGTTGTGCAGCTCGCGGCTGATAATCCCGGAAGATATCATCGATCCCGAGGTTGAGATGACTCGGAAACTCATTCACGCTCTTGCTAGCCAGTGGATCGGTGTGAACATCATTCCAAGCCAGCGGAGGGACATGTGGGTTGTAGTTGGGGTATCATACTACATCACAGATCTGTGCATTCAGAAGCTTTGCGGGAATAATGATTATCGATTCCGACAAAAAGCCAATGCGGATAAACTTGTGGACTTGGACTTTCAACGGCCGTCAATACACGCCTTGGGAGAAACCCTTCACCTGGGACAGTTTGAAATGGACTTCATGATCTTGAAGGCGCCGTTGGTGCTTTTTATACTTGACCGGCGGTTAACGAAATTATCTGGGTCCACGGGAATTGTTCGTGTCATTTCCAGGTTACTCTACAATGCCAGTATCGGCGAAGTCTCAGACAGGGCTGTTACGACGGAGGGATTTCGAAGGTTATGCGAGAAGATTGGGCATTATAAGCTCGATGCATTCTTCAACCAATGGATCATGGGAGCCGGGTGTCCAAGATTCCAAGTGACCCAGAAGTTCAACAAGAAGAAACTAGCGGTGGAGATGACCATCAGCCAGAAGCAAGATACTCAACCGACACAGCGAAAGCTCGAAAAGCACCAGTTTCTGAGAGAATTCAAAGAGGAAGCTTACGGCGTTTATGCAGGAGATGTTCAGCCCGTCTTCACAGGACCCATGACAATCAGGATTCACGAATCTGATGGGACGCCTTACGAACATATCGTGGAGATAAGAGAAGGGATACAGAAAATCGAGATTCCCTATCACACGAAATACAAGCGCCTGAAAAGGAGTCGGCGAGAAAAAGAACGAGCTACAGCTGGCCCTGGCGTGGATATTACTACAGAGAATCACGATGATGTGCTTCTGTATTGCTTAGGCGATGTTTTGCAGTCGAAGGAGGATGTGCAGGAGTGGGGTTTGGTGGATTGGGACACAGAGATGGAGGTGAAGATGGATCAAGAGTCGTACGAATGGATTCGCATGGACGCTGATTTCGAATGGATCTGCGAGTTAAATCTGAACATGCCGTCATACATGTATCTTTCCCAGCTACAACAGGACAGAGATGTTGTTGCTCAACAAGACTCTATGCTTTTCTTAGCCAAGAGCCCACCGCATCCTCTGGTGTCGACTATTCTAATTAGGACGCTGATGGACCGCCGGTATTTCTGGGGGATCCGGGAAATGGCTTGCAGATACCTCGCGACGCATGGTGTTGAAGCCCACAGCTGGATTGGCAGAGTCCACCTCGAAAAAGCGTTCCAGAGGATGTTTTGCTATCCCGGCTCGAGCATGCCTAAGTCGAACGATTTCTCCGACAAGACGGACTATCGCATGAAACTGGCGATCCCAAAGGCCATGGCCAGGGTTCGCAACATCGAAGGCAAATGTCCTCTTGAAGCACGCCAATTCCTTCTTGACTTGCTTAGGTTCAACGACAATGGCAACAACGAGTACTCCGATTACTATTACATCTGTACGTTAATGAAGGCCCTCGCAGACTCCTTGATACCCATCAAAAATGAGACTCCGGGTGGTATGAGCTTCAGTTTTGCAGACGAAGATGAGGAGGAACTACAGAGATTCCAGCAGGTTGCTCTCGAGGAGATTGAGAGATACCGGAGGATGGACGAGTGGATATTATCCTACCAGAACATCTACACGAAAACCGCCTTGGAGTGCAAGCGTCGCCTGATGAAGAGCAAAATTACGCCTTCAGATCCTAGAGAGTTGTTCGCATACACGCACGACGGAACTATGGACCTCGTGCGCATACAAGCTTTTGATGCATTGACCGACCTCGGATATCTCTCTAACCACCACCTTTTAAGATACTTCTTGAATGTAATGAGCACTGATGCCTCGCCTTTCGTTCGAGATCGTCTTTGCCAGATTTTGTTTTCCGGCCTTGGAGCTGTCGCGCTCGGCGAGCACAGCAAAGCTGCAGTAGAACCAAAGCAAGAAGAGGACATGGATACCCTGATTGTCGAGAACGAGACATCAATGGAGGCTAAGAAGGCACTTGTTGCGCGAACAACAAGCATAGAGGGTGCGATGAATGCGCTTAAAGAGGAGCTCGAGAAGAATGCAACTCTTAAGCAGGGGTTATGGGATGCCGTAAGGTCAAGACAAGTCGCGGTGTCTGAGCAAGCTGATTACCTTGATATATGCACCGTCCTCTACGACGCGATAGAGTCTATGGTTGTGCGCATGAAATATCCACGGTATTGGAAAGCGAAGCATCTTGGAAAGGTGAGTTACTTATTAGAACTTGTATTCCAGTCCGACACTAACAGCTACAAGGGCAAAATACGCTTCTGGCAGACTGATAAAATCCGCACTAAGCCGCGTCCGCGTCCTGTGGCGGTCCCTGTGAAGAAAACTGCTCCGCCCATTATCGTGGGACCACAGAGACCTACATCATCACCTTCTGTGGCCCGAGGGGATACTATCAAGGCTGAGCACGGCAGTATGAAGCCGCCAAAACGTCCTGCGCCACCCAACTTCAGCGACAGAGCCCGTCCTTCAAAAATCCTGAAGCTCCGCCTGTCGCACGAAAAACTTAAACGATTTCCCCGCGGCGGCCCTGCACGATCCCCTCTACCATCATCACGACCCTCTCAATCACCCTCCCTCTCCAAACCTTCGCCATCTCCTTCTCTTTCGAAACCCCCACGCGAGTCTCCAACACCGTCATGGTCGTCGGCCTCACCCGGACCTCGCAACACCACCCCCGGAACATCCGGTACCACAGGCCAGAAAATCCGCGTTCCACTCCCCAGCGGCGCCCGTGTACCTCTCCCCAGCGGACCAACCCCGCCTCCCCAGTTACCGGCCAAGTCTAGTCCCAAGCCTAGTCTCAAGATCAGGTTAAGCTTTGGAGCGAAGAAGACGGAGCCGAAGACGGAGCCGAAGTAGTGTTATAAGGTCGAGAGTCCGAGAATTTTTGTTTTCATAGTACGATAGGAAAGATGCCTTTGGCTGGAGCGCCGGAGCAGCGCGCATGGCATGCTGGGCACAGTCCAGAGGTGGAATTGTAGGCTAGGCGTTGTTTTTTACACATAGAATATGGCGTCCAGAGGCGAGACTTGATGGGCGAGTCGTTTGGTCGTTAAGTATCATGCATGGGTTTGGTTGGATGGCATGGCGGCGTTTGTTTGTAGGCGACGGAGGAGGCCATAGGTTGATGCACCTCGACCAAAATATAATAATTTCTGAATAAACTCGTTCATGTGACATGAAGAAGAGCATCGAGAGCGCGCTGGTAACAGCGGATCGGGTTTGTCTGCGTTCGATGACTTAGCTGCGCGATGCAAGCCCCAGCCTCTCCTCTCTCGTCTTGGGTTGTGGTCTGCCGTGGCCCTGGACCTTATGTCCATCGTTGGGATTCACGTTCTGGCCTTTCTGGGCCTGCATTTGTGCTGCTCGCTGCATCTCTGCTCGCAGTTCTTCCGCAGCTGCGTTCTGTCGGTCTTCATAGGACGCGACATCTTCGTTGGTAATCGATATGGCGGTTGGCTTTCGGCGAAGCATCTTTGCGGTAGTTCTTAGAGTACGGAGAAATGTTACCCGAAGCCAGTTATAAAGCCAAGGTTATACCTTGAGAATATCCCAAGTCGTATGAATTATGTTGTATATGTTGTGTCGTACGGAGTAGGTTGGTAGAAAAGGTGATTGTGGTTGTCACTTTGGTGCTAGAGCCCAGCCTCGTAGCCTTGTGATCCTCATAATTAAGGTTTGCGACATCCAAATCTTTGAGCCAACCTCAGAAATATCTCAAGGTGACAACCATAGCACCACATCCGCGCCATGTTTAAGTGGCACATACAATCGGCTGTGGGCCGCAGCAGGCCGGTTGCCAATGATTTGAAAGTCGTTTCAGATGGCATCGCAGCCTCTTTACGACAGTTCCATGCCTCGGCGTCTCAGGCAGAGGTTGGTGCGTTCAAACTCCCTCATCGCATGGTATAATCGGCCAATTGGACGGTGGCTAACTTGACCAGAGAAACCTAGACCTCCCGTTCGCACTCTTCGCATAACCCGCACCGCAACCGCGACGGCCGAGCTCTCGTCCCTCAAGCCCTCCAAGCCCCGTGGCGTCGACGCCCGCTCCCTCGCTGCGGCTCCGCCACGAACCCTCAACATCTCTCGCACTTTTAACGATACACCTCAACGAGGAGGCTTTCAAGCCCGTGGACGAGGCGACTTTGTCCCTAGAGGCCGCGGCGGATCTGGAGATCGTGGACGAGCCGGCTTCGTTCCCAGGGGCCGCGGCGGATTTGGCGCCGGTGGACGCGGCGGCGCTATGTCCCGTGGACGTGGTGGCGCTACTGCCCGCGGACGTGGAAGGGGAGGTGCGAGGGGCGGCAGGGGCAAGAAGTCCCAAGGACCGAAACGAGAAGCTGAGGATTATGAGGACGTGCCGTTGTCCCCTGAGGAATTAGCATATGAGGCTGCAAGGGATATGGGGGTCCAGAGGGCTGCGAATTCGGGTACAACAACACATGTGAACCTGGAATATAATATTCCTAGTCTAGCAACAGGCTCGGCGCCTCTGGGACTAGTGGAGACGGTACGGGATCATATAAGGAAGTTGACAGGGCAGCATGGGAATGAGCTGCTGGATGCACATGCTCATGCGGACCAGTACAACCACGGACAGGGCACTTTGTTTCTTGATGAGGCAGATAAAAACAGTATTCTGGGCCCGAACTACGCTGAAGGCACCCCGAGGGAGTATAAGACTATTAGCAAAGAGGAGAGGGAGGTTATTATGAAGTCATTGGTTGGAGGCCAATATCCAAGTCTGGCCCCACCTAAGGCGAACGACATATTGGCAGGAGTGGAGATCAAGGGGAACATGAATCCTACATACTTGCCTGCGGATACTGCGTCGCTGAAGGGAAAGGTACAGCAACTTCTGCCGGTTTTAAAACCAAAGAAGAGCGCGCCGGCAAAGGCGGGTGCTCGGGCTTGAAACTGGGCTTAGGCTTGTATTATATATAGAAGTTCGGATCATATGTAAAATATTTATTGTAGTTTTCTCGTCTAGCTCTATGTCACATTTACAAAGATCACTCGTCGTTGGCACTCAAAACATGCGCAATAGATTATAAATTCTCGTGAGATCAAGAAGCTAAAAGGTGAGATTACCACTATGTAGGTAATTTGCTGGTTTATTAATTGAACTTTCAAACATGAATAATCGATGATATTGATATAAGTTAATATAATTATAATTAAGTTAAGTTAACTTAGTGATTTAGGACTAAATAATAAAATGGATATCATATCAACTGGAACTCTAAAGACTCCAAATAACTCTACAAACATATATATAAAATACAACACTACATATATAACGTAATAACCTATAACTGTGCTTCACATCAAGAATTGACTGGCCATTTGTAAAGTAAAGTAATCAGTTCGTTCGGAAGTCTCGTTGAGATCCTGCCCGCGCTTCTCCCCCCCCGCATAATTGATACTCCGAGACCCTGTCAACACCATGCTTCAAGCTCTCCATAACCACATCACTACAACCAATTCACAGCGAACATGGCTCCCAGAATCCAATTGCGCAGGAATGCGCTGGCACAGATACTCCCAAGCTCAAGAAGCTCCCTCAGACTCCACACACTGTAAGTACCCCTCAATTGCCCACAAGCACTCTACACGTACTAACTCCCCCAGAAGACCCAAGGCTCCCACATCCTCAATCACCACCATCCTGCCCACCCTCTCCCTCCGCACCCTCACCACCACCCCCGCCCTCTACAAGAAAGGCAAAAACACAGCCCCTCGTGACTCTCAAAAGACCGGTACCAAAGAGGCCCCGGAAGAATGGGACCCCGAGGACTTCAGCGCCCTGCGCGCCGGCATCGCCAAAGCGAACGACAAGCTAAACGCCGACCTCGCCAAGCTACGCACGGGCGGGCGCTTCAACCCCGAGCTCCTCGAGAACGTGCGCGTGCACCTGGACAAGACTTCTAAGACGACGCACCGCGTGGGCGTGCTGGCGCAGGTGATCCCCAAGGGCGGGCGCAGCGTCATGCTCCTCGTTGGCGAGAAGGACCACGTCAAGCCAATCATAAGCGCGATTCAGAATGCCAAGGAGCTGAATCTACAGCCCGTGCCTGACCCGCACAATCCCAGCCAGCTGAATGTGCCGCTGCCGGCACCGACGAAGGAGAGTAGGGATGCGGCGCTGGCGGCGGCGCATGATGTTGGGGAGGCGGCTAAGGTGGCGGTTACGGCGGCGAGAGGGGTGATGCAGAAGAAGCTGAGGCAGATGGAGATTAAGAAAACGGTGCTGCCGGATGAGTTGAAGAAGGCGCATAAGGAGATGGAGAAGATTGTCCAGGGGGCAGTGGCCGACGTGAAGAAGACCGTAGATGCGGCCAAGAAGGGAATGGAATAGGCATGGACCCAGCAATAGCAAGGTGATATACGTCGGCGCATCTAGTTCAGTCCAAGCAGCAGCTTGAGTCTTATATCTCGAGGGTTGAGGAGATCATCTCTGACCCAACGATGTCCCTCGAGATCAAGCGCGGACAAAAGGAGAAGATCGAGTCTGCTCTCAGCGAGGCCATGGCCCAGGTCGAGATCGAGGGACTCGTCTGGTTATTCGAAGATAAATGGATGCAATATATCTTTATACTATTAAGTAGGAAATATAACAGCGTAGTTTATTGGAAACGATAAAGCATGAAATCACAATTAAACTAGTCACGTTCACAATAAAGGCATCTCGAGGTAGTTTTTGAAGTTTTCAATTACTTGCGCATTTCGTAATTCTACAATGCGCGGAGAGGACGTGATGAAATAGTGGGATACATCCATGAACCACATCTCAGTCGGAACTTTTGGAACCCAGAGAACTCGAGCCAATCCAGATATGCCAGCCATGTCGTGAAATTCATGCGTCGAAATCGTTTTCCTACGCCTGGTTGCGGCCCGGGTACAATACAATGAAAACCATATTTAGCGGGTGGACAGAGCCTTGGTGACAGCGCGCTTGAGAGCCAACTCCTTCTTCTTCAGGTCATCAGCAGACGAGTCCTCGATCTCAAGCTGGGCCATGGCCTCGCTGAGAGCAGACTCGATCTTCTCCTTTTGTCCGCGCTTGATCTTGAGGGACATCGTTGGGTCAGAGATGATCTCCTCAACCCTCGAGATGTAAGACTCAAGCTGCTGCTTGGACTCGAACTTCTTGGAGAAAGCCTCGTCGGTGGACTTGAACTTCTCGGCCTCGCTGATCATGTTGTCAATCTCAGCGGAAGAGAGCTTACCAACAGAGTTGGAGATGGTGATGTTGGCGCTGCGGCCGGAGGTCTTCTCGGTGGCAGTGACCTTGAGGATACCGTTGACATCGACCTCGAAGACGACCTCAAGGACGGCCTCACCTGCCTTCATCGGTGGGATAGGAGCAAGGGTGAACTCTCCGAGGGAGGTGTTGTCCTCGCAGTTCACACGCTCACCCTGGAAGACAGGGAACTGAACGGTCTGCTGGTTATCCGCGACGGTGGTGAAGGTGCGCTAGATGATGATGTTAGTAAATATCCGAGTTGGTTTGATGATATTCCGAGTAAAAAAAATCTCGCTTAACAGTAAAAATGGGGGCCGCCGATTCGAACAAAAAAAAAGAAAGGTTGATGGTGCTTCCAGAAAAATCGTAGAGAACAGAAAAATCAGGCCGAGCTCCAGCTCGACTCCGCCTTGGCCGACCTCGCCAGGTGGCGCTTCGATCCATTATGGCGGTTGAGCTCGTAGAGGCTCGTGCAAGAAACATTGCAGAAGGCGCGCCTTCCAAAAGGTGTCTTTTGAGTGCGAGGGTTGCTCAGGCGAGCAAAAAAGTACTTTTGCGCCTTCCAAAAAGTGCTTTCAACTCGAAGGCACACGCTGACTCACTCCAGAGGGGCCGTCTTTGGAGGCCCTTCCTAAAAAGTACTTTTTGAAGGCGCGACCCTCGAGAGGGCACTGTCTTAAAAAGTACTTTTTAGAAGGAAGGCATGGGTAGGGGCAAGTTGACTGTTGTCAGGAAGGCACGATCCTCTCTCACTCGAAAGGGGCTACCTCGAAAGGGAACTTTTTTGTACAGCCCTAAAACCCACAAACAAAAATTCGTAGATAGATAAAAAATAAAAATGACAATGACAATAAAAACGTATAATTTGGCCTTACTTTCTTGAGCGTGGGGCAAGTTTGGCCACGAGCAACGACGGGCGCAAAGATATTGCCCTCCATAGCGACGCCAAGGGAGAGGGGGACCACGTCGAGTAGAAGGAGGTCGGCCGTCTCGGCGGAGGTGGCTTTGCCGGAGAGGATACCTGCATCAAATTAGATAAGTCTCTTTAATTGAATAACCTGACTCGCCTGCCTGGACCGCAGCTCCGTACGCGACAGCCTCATCCGGGTTGATGGACTTCTCGAGCTTCTTGCCGTTGAAGAAGTCGCTCAGGAGCTTCTGTATCCTTGGGATACGGGTGGAGCCACCAACAAGGACGATCTCGTCAACCTTGCTCTTCTCGATGCCAGAGTCCTTGAGGACCTGGGCAACTGGGTCCAGAGTGCCGTTGAAAGCCTTGGAGTTGATGTCCTCGAAACGGGCACGGGTGATCTGGGCGTTGAAGTCCTCGCCATCGAAGAGGGAGTCGATCTCAACGGTGGTCTGGGAACCATTGGAGAGAGTGCGTTTGGCACGCTCGCAAGCAGTGCGGAGACGACGGAGAGCACGTGGGTCACCGGACATATCTATTGATGATGTTAGTATAAAATACAGAGTACAACCTAGGAAGGACAAAATATGGGCCCAGTCTCTCAGGAAGAGACTGTGTATCACAGTTAACAAGAGGTAAGGAACAGTTTGCAAACCCCATCGCTACCTTGGGTATCACCAGTAACCCTGGGACAAGGAATAGTTTACAAAATCCATCACCACTTTGGGTATCAGTTACCCAGAAGCAGTTTGCAAACCCCATCGCCACTTTAGGTATTACCAGTTACCCAGAGGGAAGGAACACTAGTTACTCAGGGGCAATTTTTTTTTTGCAGCCCCTATCGCTGCTGTGGGTATTTCACAGCAACTAGGAATAGAATAACAGAAAATGGAGCTCTAACCTTTCTTAGTCTTCCTTTGGAACTCCTTCTTGAAGTGCTCAAGGAGGTTGGTGTCGAAATCCTGACCACCCAAGTGGGTGTCACCAGCAGTGGCCTTGACGGTGAAGACACCGCCCTGGATGTTCAGGAGGGAGACATCGAAAGTTCCACCACCGAGATCGTAGATGAGAACGTTACGCTCCTTGGCGGACTTTCCGGAACCGAGACCGTAGGCGATGGCAGCGGCGGTAGGCTCGTTGATGATACGGAGAACGTTGAGGCCAGCAATGGCACCGGCGTCCTTGGTAGCCTGACGCTGGTTGTCGTTGAAGTAGGCTGGGACAGTGATGACGGCCTTGGAGACCTTCTTGCCCAACTTGACCTCGGCGACCTCCTTCATCTGTAGAACGGTTTGGTTAGATCTTGGAGACTGTTGCCGGGGGTGAGTCGATTACGAACCTTGGTGAGGACCATGGAGGAGATTTCCTGAGGAGAGAAAGTCTTTTTCTCTCCGAGATATTCTTGAAGCAATTGTTAGTATATAGCAAAATAAAATAGAAGCAAAGAACATTTCGAGAGAAAATCAAAAATCAAAACAAAGAACCTTTCGAATAAAATAAAATAAAATAAAATAAAATCAATAACTCTCTTCGCATAAAATAAAAGCAAGACATTCCCCGAATACAATAAGAATGAAACAAAAACGCTCCCCGGGGGAAAAAAAAAAAAAAAAAATCCTCAAAAATAAACCAAAAACTCTTCGAATAAAAAATTATGAAGTCGAGCTCATGCTCGACTCGATCGGAATACCGGCCGCGGCAGCTTTTTCCAGGTGCTTCTTGGAAGCTTTGTGCGTTTGGAGGTTATATTTATTGCTGCTCGAATGGTCACATATGAGACAATAAAATTTGTCGTCTGGGATGCCATCCAGGTTGCATTTCTCCAGATGCGCCCTCGTTAAATTGTGCCTCGATAATTCGTAGACCCGCACGGCTCACAACGGAAAGGCTTGAAATCGAATGTGCCGGCATCTATGGCGGCCTTTTTGATATGGGCCTGGGTGGCCCGATGTTTGTCGAAGTCGAATTTCCTGCGACATGCAAACCCACAGGGTTCGCAGTGGAACGGTTTCGCATCGAATGTGCCTTCTGCCTTGGCCACCTTTGAGGTGGCCTTGTGCCATTATGGGCGGCGAGGGCATTGTTCGAGCGACAAGAGACGTCGCAAACGGCACAGTGGTATTTCTTTTCGGCTTTCGCCTTGTCGCCCCAATCTTTCTCCATCTGATGTACCCGCTCGGGGTCATTTTTTCTTTTTTCGGCGTCGCTCTTACGCCGTAGTGCATAACCCCTTTCCCGCATCTTCTGGAACCGTTCCGGTTCCTCCGCACGTATACGTGCATTATACCCTCGGAGATTCCACCCCGACATCCTGACTCCAGGAAAGAGCGCGACAATCAGTCTATCCAGAAGGGACGGAACAAAATAACCGAAGAAAATATACATGGCAAAAAATAACTGATCAAAAACAAGAACATCAACTATAGAAAATAGCACGTACCGACTTCGACCGCTGGTGATCCGTCAACATCAACTATGGCGAATGGCCAAGACTCCGCATCCTGGGAAACGGTCAGTGTCTATCGGCATATTCGGACGGTGGGGGGCCAACTTTGGAGACATGAGGATCGTCGAAGGGACGACCGATGAGACGCCTGTAGTATCTTGTCAGACAACATTCTTGATCTTTGTATGAGCCACAACTTACTTGATGTCGAAGACGGTGTTCGTTGGGTTCATTGCGGCTTGGTTCTTGGCCGATTCTCCGATCAGGCGCTCCTTATCGGTGAAGGAAACGAACGATGGAGTGGTGAAACTTCCCTGCTCGTTGGCGATAATTTCGACAGTGGTGCCCTCGTAGACAGCCACGCAGGAGTAGGTGGTGCCCAGATCGATGCCGACGGCACCATCGTAAACTTCGTCAGCCATTGTGAGAGTGTGTGTGGTGGTGGTGAGGTTGGAGGAGGATGGGTTGTGGATGTTGAGAGGGAGAGAAGAAATCGAATATTTCGAGAACGGAATATCCAACTCTCGAACTTTTTTGAGTGGGAGCCGCTAGAGCCAATCTTCGCCTAGCGGCTGGTGCCCCACTTATGGGCTTTACAGTCGATATTTAATCGGTTCGGCCAATCATACGGCGTTCAATGGAAAATTAAATTCAAAATAAAGAGGAACTGTGCAAAACAACAGCGATTACAGTAGCTATAATTAAAATAAAGGCATTCAGTCACTCAGAGCAGAAATGAATAGGCCAGTCACTCATACGTAGAGGTAGAAGAAGAATTTCTATCAGCATAAGTAACTGGTATCAAACCCTCTGGTAAGGCTGTCGCTCTTCAGACTTTGGGCGGCACGAGTAACTTATATGGGATTATAATTTCGAGCTAAATCATTTCATCAAACGGTTCTCATTTTTGCCACCATTGTATCTTTCCATGCTGCATGGAATTTTATTTTCGAGCTAAATCATCTCATTGAACGGTTCTCATTCTTGCCACTTAGAGACTATCTATTCTGTACACTATGACTGAAGGCCTCGTTTTGGGTCTTCGTTAAAACCAACTCCACCCATGCCATCAATATAAGAAACAAATCCGTATACCCAACCCCCATAAAACTCCCAATAGCCAGTCTAGTACCTGCCCAAGACCTCATTTGTATGCTGGTTGTACAAGTGCAAACAAGCCCCCAACACACCGACACGACGGTGGCCATGTACCCTTCTATCTCAATAAATTCGCAAATATGGTGACCTTCTCAAGCTCGACCTCCTGACCACTGGCTGCCCTCGATGCTCCCTTGGGAAGTGCAGCAATCAGCTCCACCTCGATTCTGTTCACTCCTGGCAGAAGGCGTGCTTCAAACAGGGGGTTTCTGTGATCGATTGGCTGCCCAGGCACCTGCGGCATCGCGACTAGGCGTTGTGTGCCAGAGGTCACAAAGAGCTTGTGCTGGCGCTCCATCAACGAATTAGCAATAGTCGGCTTTATCTGTAGGTAGTAGTGTGTATGCGGCAGATTAATCGTGATGCTTTGCTGTGTCATCGTCGGCGATGGCGGGAGGTCCATGTGGAAATGGCGGGTTAAGTGGAGTCCGGGGTGGGTGGATAGATGCAGATTGGTTATCATAGAATCAGATGCATCTAATAAAGTTAGTTCGGGTTGTTTATGTAGGAGTAGGCTCACCTTTTCCTGGAAGACGCCACTTGGAGTCGAATGTTGGGACTGGCGGGGGTTGATATGGAGAAGGCTGCATGTGGCCGTAACCTGGGGCGGTACCGTTTAAATGATGTCCATTCGCCGCCACTGCAGGACCAAGTCCTGTAGGAGGCGCCATAGAGACGCTATTCATTTGCGTAGCTGGTAACCCCTGGACGCCGGCCACTGAGGAGGGTTGCATCGAAGGGGATGGCCGATCCTCGCTCTTTACCGGCGCAGACGCAGATACTGACAGCGTGGGCGAGTTTACAGAGCCAGATATGCTTCGTCCTCTATCAATATGACCAACTGCTGAAGCTGGGCGGACCACGCTACCAGGTGCTGCTTCCCTCGACGAAGCACCATTTGCGAGGGGAGTGATTGTTGGGGGCGTTTCCCTGAGCGACTCAGCAGGGCTTCCTTTGGCACCCATACGTAGCATTATCTTGGGCCCAGCTTCTGGAGCCGAAACCTTCAACTTGAGCTTTTGCTGGGGTGGTTCTTGGACGACCTTCTTCGCTGCGGCAAGGCGTTTGTTGAAGAAAATCTTTTGTTGTAAATTAGTATCAGATATGAAAGACCTGAAATTTAGCTTACCTCGAGATTGTCAGCAAGTGCGGAGATGGCGCTTCCATCCTCGTTGTAATGCTTAGCATTCTTCCAAATAGATGAAACCTCCTCTTCGAAGGCATCCCAGCTTTTGAAATCAGAAGTGCCAATGGTTTCACTTCTAGTGTGGCTACCGCGTATGTGCTTTCTCAGCGTATTGAAGCTGACAGGATTAGGGATAACTTGATAGTAATCTTTAAGCTTGCGGTCTGGAAGTTTGATAAACGGCTCGAAGGTTGGATACTCATCACTACATAGCAAGTTAGTGCTCATTCTTAAACGAAATCTAGAAGACATACTCTTCATCCTCCTTGTAGTGAGTCATCTCTTCGGCAATTTTCTCTTGTGCTTGCTGAAAGTTAAGGCCATTGAACGAACCGCCGACTTTGACGACTCCATCCTGCCCACCTGGAGTGGAAGTGGCTCGTCGCTGTCTCTCCAGCTCGAAAGCTACGGGATTCTTCGGTGGACGCCCTGGCCTTCGTTTGGCAGAACCGGGGATAGCAATCTCCGAGGTAGGCGTCATAGAAGCCTCAATTTCTGTGCCCGTCACCTCATGGTCACTTTCGCCTTCTGCGTCAATATCTTCCACTGCAATCGCAGTACCGTCGTCAGGAATCGGTGTCGGGAATGACTGGTACTTAGGGTCCTTATATGCCGGGTTCTTCTTTTGCATGAAAGCCGTAACAATTTTGCGGATGCGCTCAGCATCTTTGTGTATCAGGGACTCCCTTTCATTGTAGTCTTTGGCATTTTGGACCAGACGTTTCCAGAAACTCTCCAGCGACGTAAGCGTAGGGAATTCGCGGTTGTTTAGTTTGGCCTCGATCATATCGATGGCGATGGGCATCTTTGTCCTTTTGAAGTAATCGGGAATGGCATCTCTACTGGGTAGAGAGAGAAAGTCATTAACTGCAGGTCGCCCTCTGTTGACAATTAGCATGGATCCCTCAAGGAATGTCGTCTTGGTAGTAATGCGTTGTGTTCAGAGAGGGACTGGTTGTCATAGTCGATAAGACACCCTCCTCATGGATATGTTATATCGGCGCTTCTCGTACCTTTTGTCTCTGGTATTCTTAATCTGTTCCAGCAATTCCAAGCCAACCTCTGACGTTGATTCTGACGTCTCGCCATAACTGGAAACTGAATCCTAGAAGAGAAAAACATATTAGCAACTGGCTTAATTACTTCTATCCCGTACGGGTATCTGTGGAGAGCTTCGGTAGAGTGCGTTCAGCTCGAGGAGCTCATCACCTCCGTTTGATAAGGCCGGAGGTGGAGTGGGAGCAAGCAGCCATGCGTCATGGGCAAGTATTTCCCCCGTCGCAACCCATCCGTCCCTCAAATTCAACAACAAATTTATATCGCAACGGGGCCAGCAACAACAAAGGAACAGTAGGCTTACTGATACTTTACGCCTCTTTGTGCCACGGTCGTCCAATTCATCTGCTGTAGATGCAGCACCGTTGGCCTTGCGCTTCGAATCCATTGTTGCGCTGTGCAATCGGTGTCGCGTAAAGTTGGCGATTACGACGCACACGGTATCAGAGCTTTTCGAGTATGTTGCACCAGTCAATGAGTCGAATTGTAACTGGCGTCAACGGGTGAAGCGCGCAAAGATGGGGTTTGACGCGATTATTGTGGTAGGGATGATCGGAATTGGAGAGGTTTCGACGCGTGCACGGCAAGGCGAAGGCGACAGAGCTCCAGAATCGTCCCTTTCAAGACAAGAGAGTGTCTGTGCACGACAGATGTGTTCTCACTTTGCGCTCGAAGAACCGTTAATAGCTTATAGGTACGAGAAATCCGATGATAGAGCCCGAATAGCCTCAATTTCCAAATATATATTTATATATCGTATATACGACACCTGTATTGTGTGGGCAGAGCATAGACATGCCACGTGACTTCGCTATCAAATTGTCCCAACACTTATCAGCCTCAGGCACACATCTGATAAGCAGGCACCCAAGTAAACAATAGAGAATCCCAACGTTTATTTTTGCCTTTCGCCGTTTTGCTAAATTCTGACTCTTTTAACTGTGATCACGACTTTTGCAACATTACGCCCTTTGACTCGCGCCTCATAAACACTCTGAGACGTAGTTCATCCGGCAAACCGGCGGTCGGAGTTCCATTCCCCCACCCCCACTGTTCCTGTTGGCTAGGAAAGCGCATACATACAACGTCCAGCCCACCAAACTTCTCCCACTCACCAAGGGATCCTTCACTCCGGTAAACAGACATGGATTACAACAGACGGAACAAGGCACCACGGCCTCTGTCGGAGGCTGAGAAGGAGCGCCTGGAAGAATATATCGACTCAATTCACTACTCTCCTCGGTACGTTCTGTCGCCCTCAACCCCGCACTGTAGACGCGGGGCAGATTCAAAGACAATAGGGAGCACGCTATTGTGTAAACAGGCACTAATATCCAATCCAGCTATTCCGACGACGACTACGAATACAGACATGTTCAGCTACCAAAGGCTATGCTGAAGGCCATCCCAAAAGAATATCATGATCCGTCAAAAGGGACCTTGAAACTGCTCTGGGAAGAAGAATGGAGAGCGATAGGTATTACCCAGGTACGCAGATATACCCCCCGCCCCCACAGTTATATGATCGTTGCTAATTCTATAATTATAGAGTCTAGGATGGGAGCATTACGAGGTGCACGAACCGGAACCACATATCCTCCTGTTCAAGTAAGCTTCCCACCTCTCTGAAACCGAAAAAAAGAAAGCGTCCTAACAATTCCTAGGCGTCCGATCAACTACGTGCCCCCGGCACAATGAGCCCCCCCCCTCTTTAAATAGACGCTACGGCGTTCATCAACAGCGGTGCCCTCGCGGCTCTAGATTTCAGCACGAAGCGGAGTTCGGAATTCACAATCAGCATATTTTGCAGCATGCGTCGACGAGTTTTCGACGCCTGACATCATGTCCCTCGTCATCTCGAAAATGGACTTCCAGCCGACACATACTGGGTTATTCCTCGAATAAGTATTGTCTTGTGTATCAAACCAGTGCGTTAGGACGGGTTTATGACAGATATTTCTGAATTCAATGATGGAACTATGCATAAAGTGTCTTTCGTGATGCTCGCTTGCTGGATCTGTTCAACTGATGATCCCGTGAATGTTCAATGGTCGCGGTAATATTCGACTTTTACTGCCTCTGTCTCGACTCTGGACCCTGGCTGCGATGACCCAGACCGCTCCATCCTCTCATTCTCTCTTCACCTTCTTTCTTTGCCTGAAAAGCATAGGAGTATATATCACCAGAAACAATTTCACTTGCATGCTGCTACTTCTCATTTCAGAAGGTGAATATCATCGCATTTCACGTTGGTATATATGCGTCCATTACCCCTAAAACCCTGGCATCATAATCCCGGGTCCTTCCTCCGCTCCGCCCCTGTTGAGACTGGTGGCATCCACGCACCGTATTCAAAACTCATCGCGAATGCATCCATAAACCAATAAACCAAATAACTCACTGCCCGTTTTCCGGAACGCCTCCCGTCCCTTGTGAGCGTCTTCAGAGTGGTAAAGATTCGCCGGTGCCTGTATCTTTGGCCGTATAATACCTAGGTTCATCCATCTGCCGCATAGCTCCCATGTTCATCAGTTCGCCATAAAACGCCCATGCCCATCTATTCGCCGCACAATGCTCGTCCCAATCAATCCGCCATGCAATGCCGACGCCCATCTATCCGCCGTGCGACTCACTGAACACGTCAATCAAGTCATGGTTCTCAACCCCCAGCTGCCATCTAATGTTAGCCAGTTATCCCGCTCTCAACCCCCCTGCCCAACACAAAGAACAAAAACTAAACAAACTCACCTCCTTCGCCGCCAAAGGCTTGTAGTAATCAATCCTCGTATTGCAAGGCAAGTAGAAGAACAGCTCCCAAGCCATGTATCTACGCCCATCATCATATCTCCACATCTCCAAACAGCAATCAATCTCATGTCTCATGATCGTGTCCGGCCCAATCTTGAAGACCACCTCCTTGCGCGGGCCCATGCGGAAAGTCACGTACATGACCTCGTGGGAGCCGTGGGAGAGATCGAAATCATGCGGCACCGCTGTGGGCTGGCCGATGAATTGGTTGGTCTTCAGCTGAGAGGCGAGGAGCTCGATGAGTTGGGCGCCTTGGCCGCTGGCGAGGGCGTGTTGGATGATGGAGAGGGGGTCGGTGGGGAGGGTCGAGGTGGGTGAGTAGCTCCTGCCGCGGCTGGAAGTGACGGAGAGGACGGCCATTGTGGTGGTAGTGTTGGGTTGTGTGGTTGTGTTGGTGATGTTTGTGTTGGCGTTGAAGTGAGGTTTGAGTGGATCTGTTGTTGGTGTGAGAGTTTGAGTTGTGGAGGTTGGTATGATATGTATGATGGTAGAAGCTGAGGAGACCTGAATTTATACTGGTCTCAGACTCGGCTGGCTGTTGTAGGCACCCGCTGCTTGATCTTCTTCGAGACGACTCGAGAATAAAGAAGGGAAGAGGTGAAGAAAGCTGTGGTTGTTTCTGTATGTCTGTGTCTGTATTGTAGAAAGTCAGAGACACCTTGAAGGGCTCGGTATGTTGCAGCGGATGCTTTGGACTGCCTGCAATATTGCTGCAATTTATATTATTTTGCCTGCCAGGAGAGAAGAGAAACATAGGAGAAGGAAAGTCTAAAACCAGTGAGAGTAGCGACTCGATAGCCAAAGGCCAGAGACAGCAGTGTCATGACATGAGAATGGTATAGACATAGAAATTTATCTTTCATTTCCAAAATACAGAACAGACAGGTTCTCCCAAGAACTGCATATATACTCTATCTCACCTCCATCTTCCCCCCCGTAGATAGCAAAATGAGTTTCTCTCAACATACCATGTATCTCTATCCCACCCACCCAAAAAACGCCATCGCTGATGCAAACTAAGCCCCAAGATTTCCCATTCCCAGAAAAAATGCCCCTTTTAGCTTAATGAAATATAGAAAGGGGCGAGCACGGACAGCCAGCCCAGCAGTCTAATAGAACTCCTCAGGGCCCGGGACGCGTTTCCATCCCCAGGTGCGCATCGGGATGGGGAGACCGATGTAGTTGTGCCATAGGCGACTGAGCTCGTTGGTGAAGATGTGCCATCTGTTTGGTGTTAGTCTTCATCACTCTATTGATAGTGACAGCCGCTACGATATCCGTAAAGGGAGAAAGGGGGGTAAACTTACGCAACCTTGGGAAACCCAATCCACTGCTTGAAGATATATATCACAATGCGGTAAATGATCCAAGTCTCGTTGCAAATCGCTTCCCACGCCGACTCTTCCGTGGTATCGCGGCGCTTACGATGATCGCCAAAGACTTTTTGGATATCCTCATCCTCATCCTCGGCCGTCTCTTGGCGTTCCTTCTCTGTCATCTCACCCGTATCCTTGTAGCTCTTCCCCGACACCTGCTGCCTCCCCAGCCTCTCCCGATCCGTAATCACATGATACTCCTCCCCCTTTCCTTTTCCTGACGCGCTATCTTCGGCATCAACTAGGTCTCTGAACTTGCCAACAGCGTCTAAAGAGCTGCTGATCCTAGCGAGCGTGTTGAACAGCGCCACCAGCTCCGTCCGCTTCAGCTGCGGCGCAACTTGAAGATCACCCTCCAGCGCGTGCGGGTTGTCAAACTCAAAGAGCACCTTCAGAGCCGTACCGTAACCGTTTGTCTGCAGCTTTCCCCACAGTCGGCACTTGTCGCACCCGACACAGTCCATCATGCGGCTAATATTGCGGAAGCGGTTACGGAAGTCCTCCTTCAGACTCGGTCCCTCGCCATTCACAAACATCAGGCTCTCGTCGAAGATATTCGGCTCGCGCGCGGCCTGGGCAGAGATGGCAAGGACTTTGCTCTTCGTCTCCGCGTCCTGCGTCGGGTCACCTGAGCAGTACGTGTAATCGTTCAAGTACGGCCCCAGCTTAGCCACGGCGCGCACGACGAGGGCGTAGTTGAAGTACAAGTTCGAAATGCGCTCCGGGTGCTCGTGCAGCCTCTCATGGTAGCACGTCAGATTCGGACCCCATTGGCCTGTCAACTGGTTGAGCGAGTACTGGCAGATATGTGCGCTGATACTCGCGTGCATGCCCGACACCACGCGGTAAAAGACGCGCTTCTCCAGACACTCATCCTCGTTCTCGAAGCCCGTCTCGGCGCTCGGGGCATTGCCTAGTAGCGGAGCGTGCTTCGCGCCGCCCTGCATCACGAACTTGAGCTCGTTGGCGGCGGGGAACGGCATGCTCGCCGTTTTCGGCTTGCCGAGGGACGCGGACTTGGGGAAGGATGAGCGGCTGAAGCAGTTCTCGCGGTATATGGCGTCCCAGACTTGGTTGGCGCTCGCGCCGCTGTATCCGGTGAAGCGCTCGGGGTTGTCGACTAGACTCACGTAGTCGCCCTTGCCAGTAGCGGACTCGTCTTCTGGTACACAGTAGTCCCTGCTATCACATTCGTCGTCGTATTCCATCACGCAACTCTCCGCTGTGTCCTCTCCCAGCATGCCTTGTAGCGGCCTCTCCGGACCGCGTTCAGCTTGTTGCTTTCGCCCAGGGTGAACGGCCTTTGGTCCTTGCAGCTTCGATAACTCCTCTGAGCGCCAGACGAGTGGTATATCCTCCTCATTGTCGAGCGTGTTCACGGCGCAGGCAATGTTGCCACACATGCCGCCGTCGTCGTTCCAGAAGGGACATTGCTTATTGAATAGGTTGAGGCGGTAGTATGCAAAAAAGTCGGTATGCTTGGTAAGGTCTTCGACCGCAGGACTGAGCGCCTTGTTTAGATTATCGATTGTAGAGTAGGAGGCGCATGCATCGGAAACAATTGCTTTCGGGTGGATCTGTAGGTGGTCAGAGAGGCAAGGCAAGGATGGAAGCTAAGGGATGGGCTGGACTTACGGCGCATTCGTCGGCGGCTTCGGGGACAATGTTTCTCGCGACTGCTTCGCTGTTTGCATCAGATGTATGCAAGAGCGCAAACACAGCGAGGTAGAAGAGTTGTGCTGCCGTCCTCATGGTGGCGATGGGGAAGTCTTCTGGCGACACAAGGCCAGCACCTTTACAATTGGGAACTCGTGAAGCGCTCGGAGCCTTGGAAATGATGCAGATGGCGGATTCTAGATTGTAAAGTTTCTAGCAGACTGGCAGGTTGTATATTTATTGATCCCTCAATTTAAACTTGTCGAAAGATCTTAAAGAAAGTGCTTCCAATCCAATTAAGGTCCAGGAATTTGGGGCGTGGCTCGATGCGGTATAACTTTCGAGAAGTCACTTAAAAGTACAGAACCAAACTCTCAATCATAAAAAGGTCGGCATGGTATTGAAAATGGGGAAAATATAAATACAAATCAAATCGGAAATGTTGTGTTTACAAAGCCAGGGTAATTTAATCTGTACTTTTCGTCAACGTGTCCATTCCTACCATCTGATAATTCAGATTCAAGGCGCGGGAGGGTCGGACCACGGATTAAAGTTCCGCCAGTAAGAGGAGCCACCAAGTGGCGATCTCCACCACCCCAAAATCACGATGGGCGATTTTCGCCGTGCCTCAGGCCCCAACCACCCCTGTCGCTCACCGCCCAATTGGGCCGTAGCAGCGTCGCCTCCACCGCCGTGGCTTCAGTGGCATTTCTTGGTGCCAGCGACCGTATATCGGCCAATCTTCTTCGTATGGAGCAGTAGATAGACTCTTATTTGTAGCTACATATTGATATAGAACAAGTGTAGGATTAAGGTGGTACGAGCCTGTTTTTCGATTGTACGTGCTGTGATACCTGTGGCCTTTGCTTTACTTTCGGTACAACACTACTACAGTCAACTCCCGTTAAGTCGATACAATTGGTGACACGTGTAAATATCGTAAAAGTGAAAATATCGTTATATTGAAATGCCAAGTATTATGTAATCCACCTATCCAATGTCTCCTGAACCAATGAATTAAGCTGAATTGCCTCAATTTCACCCTCCAAACGCTCTAATGCCCTGAGGTGATTGGCTTGGAGAGCATCCTGACACTCCGTATACTCAATCAGAACTTTAAGGGCATTGCGAGCATCAGAGGCTGAATAAACAGCCTCTTCAGTCTCAGGCTCCTCTTCTTGCTCATCATTTTGAGTAGGATCACTAAGATGCTCATCCAAAATCTCCTGTAGTATACCCTCCTCATCTGTTGTAACTTCTGTATTGTTGATTTGCTCGTCGATAGGATTTAAAAAGTTCGAAATAGCCATTGAATCATGTATATTGCCAGCTTTCGTATAGTTGTGAAAGGTCTGTCGGTGTAATTGAGGTTGGAAGAGTGATTAGAGTTGTAAGAAGTGTTGATTTTCGAAAGCAATTGTATATAGTTGATTGTAAAACTTGTTGATCCCAGCCTCGTAAGATCCAGCGAATTGAAAGTCGTAAGCTTGCTTGCTTAATCGGATCCAGATTCGAATTATAACATTCAAGCATAAAACAGAGCCATTGTCGACGGTAATAAGCTTGAAGAGATTGAATAATGCCTTGATCAAGAGGCTGGAATCGACTAGTACTATGTCATACTGACATTCGTTGCACTCAGTTTGCTATCAAACTCAAGAGCAAACTTGGAAATCTCCTCCTCAAACCTACAAGTCACTATACATATTTTGGCTTATCACACCAACAACAAGAGCAATACTACTCAACGATTGCTACAACCATCTATGATTCATTACACGTCATCGCTCCTTAGTTACTGGGCCGATATTACCACATAGCATATCTCTACAACCCTCTATGATTCATTACATGACATCACTCATACTACCACATGACATATCTCTACCAACTAGAGGCCTAGGAGCATGAACGATAGCTCTAAAAGCTCCTACGAACCTCTATGATTCATTTGAGATAGTCGATTTACTGTATTGTCTGCTTGCCCTTTCCTTGCCCTTTCCTTAAGAAAGGGCAAGCAGACAATACAGTAAATCGACTGTCACATACTTCCATGTCTTTTCCAAGCTTCCAAGCATTGATCTTGTTACTCCTTGTTTCTGAAAAGTCAGTGAGGTGCTAACCTCTGACTTATGCCTGAGTTCTCAGACTCAACATTTGTTACAACTTGTCTAAACCACTCCACTATATCATACACCTGATTGCTGTGTTGTGGAATAGTCTAAGCTATGACCCTTTGGCTCTTTTTCCTAAGACAGTGTGTTGTCTTAGTAAAATCATCCCTTCCTTGGGTGGCTAGATTCTCACATCTGGTGCACCCACAATTACAAGTATGACAATATAGCTGTGTATATTTTGAGAAGTGATCCTTCATATATAGAATCCACTTATATTGTCCTTAAAGGCTTGTGGCGCATATCAATTAGGTCGATTTAAACCCTCTCCTACGCTCGTCCACTTATAATAGGGACTAATGGAGCTTTTGTTGTATTTGATCGATTTAGTGTGCAATTCTTACACCGTTTAAGTATAAATTCAACATCCTCTCGCTTTATTCCATAGTATTGCTGCTTAATGGTAGGCCACCTTATACAACCTGAATGTGGGAGCTTTAGGTGCTCTTGTAATAACATCAAACATCTCTGCTTTTAGTACAACATATCGAGGCTGTAGATGTCGTGTATCGCTCTGTTTATATAGGTTATTATTAATAAGCTTAAAGCTAGATTGTGTACGTCTTTTAAGGTTTATACTCTCTCTATCGTAAATGTAAAAAGGCTGCTAGGTTGTATGGTATAGTGCGTATACGGTGCCATTTTTCAGGTGAGAATTGCTCTCGATCGTAGTAAGTAGAGATGCTTATATAGGCTTCAAAAGCAGTACCGTTTGGAAACGGGTTAATTGAAGCAATAGTAGCCATAATATTAATGTAGGATATAGGATTTAAATATTCTACGATACTATCTACACTACTTATTAGGCTAAGTTTGGGTTGGGCTGAGTTTACGGTTGGGCCGGCCAGTTCATGAACCAGCTCAGTTCACGGTTGGGCCGGAACATATATGAACGGGCCCAGAAAGAGTTCCTCCCAGACCGGGACTCGCGCACTGGAAAGTTTGTCGTGAGGGATCCCAAGATAAGTCCCGTCATGAACGAATTTTCCCTTATGCAGAGCATGGCGGCTGGGATGCTCAACGAACGGAACGAATTTGACCTTCGAAAGGTTAGTGGCAAGGAAATCGGGATGCAGAAGCTTCCGGCAGCACGGAAAGTTGTGTTGAACCGCGAGGCCAGGCTCGGGGGATGAGAGCACAGCAAGAGGTAGGAGTCTGCAGAACCTTGTCCAGAGCTCGCAGCGGGAAATCGAAGAAGTTGTGGGGGTTCGCGAAGAGATAATTGAGAAGTTGAGCCGCGATGCGTTGGAGATGGAAGAGGAGAATGCTCGACTCCGGGCTATGCTGGGGATGGAATGACGGACGGGAGGGTTATGGGCGGTGTTCGGGGCCTTATTCGGCATCTGGTATGGTGTTATCGCGTGGTGACTTGAGTTTCAAAATTCTCATGCGGGAGGTTTGCAAAGGGCACAACTTTGGTTTCAGTGGATTTGCTTCCTGGTGATTTTGAAGTAGTTGCAGCCTGGGAAGCTTCAACAGCCCCAGCCTTAAAGTCTTATATTTTCTAGAGAATATATCATTATTGACTCAGAAATACTCGTGAGATAATCGCTACAATGCCAATGTGACTGGGACTAATAATAGGATACTAGGCGCAACTCACTCTTCAAGTTGGTAATGTGTATATTTTTCTTGCCGGTTATCTTTGATTGATACCGCTTATTTATTTTGCTCCTTCCCTCCTAGATAGAAGGGTGACCGCGCTCTTTCCTTTTCGAGTGAGGATAGGGTGCGCCTTCCTCGCAGTGCGACACCCGCGAGTGTGTCATCTCGAGAAATGAGTTTGTTTCCTGTTTCTTTTCCGTTGTCCTGTGTCTACTGTGCAGATCTGCATCCTTTCTGCTGCTCCTTTTACTTTGCGACTGCTCTGTGTTTTACCCCTACTGCTCTCGTGTGTGTGTTTTTTTACGACTACTCTGGGCACGATGGCTAACGAGCCGGAGATGCTACAGCTGTTGAGGGTGATTACATGGAAGTGTCTTGCTGTCCCTACGAAGAGCACTCGTTACATATACAGACTGTACTTCCCAGATGAAACTGCGTTATCCGAAACGATTTCCTCTCTCTCTCTCTCGAGTTCTGCAATGGTCTCCGGAGACCGTGAAAGGGGCTGCACCCCCTTTACTCAATTTTTCCAGAGCCTCCCTGCGGCGCCGAAAGGCCAATGGGGAATTTATGTTATTGAGCTTTGAGAAACCAGACGCCCAGCCCCAAATCTATACTGGATCAGGTACTGATACTATGGGTGGCGTTCGTAAGCGGTTGAATTCATACGCCCACTGTCGGTCCAGTTTTTTTCTTCCTCGTTTTCTCTGGAGACGCCATACGAACGGGCTACACCATCTCCCACAGTGGCCTGTTAGTCTGGTCTTAAATTCCGCATGTGACAAAATTTGCAAAGCTCCGATTTCTCTTTCTCGCGTTCGAGGCAGACTTTACGTTTTTATTCTGGGCTGTACGATCGAAAAAGAGCGATTATGGCATGACTTCGTGTCACCCTTGGCCGCTGGAATCTTTTGAGTATGGCGGCCTTCAAGGCAAAGGGCACCTATAAGACCATTGACGGCATCAAGACCTGTTCGTCCCTCTGTAGCCACAGCCCTCTTAATGAAGACACACCTGGAATCTTGGCCTGTCGGCTGAGGAGCTCGAGGCCGCTGCCTCAGATGCGAAAGCGAAGAAAAGCGCTTACAACAAAGCTTACAACAAGATTCATAGCATGGAACGGTATCAGCGCATCCGGGCTGAGCGCATTAAGAGCAACACTGCGCAACACTGAATATAAGAAGGACAATGCCGACAGGATTAGGCGAGTCCGATAGAGCGGAAGAAATACTACTGTGTGATGTGTAATAATGCTTTTCCCCGGCTTCCCGATCTCAGAAGGCATAATCTTACCAAGCGCCACCTTCGAGAGATGGCTATGGCTAGTGCTTCGGGCGAATTTCGTTGCCAAATTTGCAACTTTTCCTGCAACGTTACTGACCAGGATGATCTTGAAAAACATTAACGCAACACCATCCGAAGGCGCCTACGGCTGATATTCCGGAGTTTTATTGTCATATTGCGTTATTGCCTGCCCCAATCAATATAAACTTAACCGGCACAACGATTCCATAAGACACCTGAAGCCCCAAAAGAACTCGATGGGACCGGGTGCGGCCGTCATAGAAAAAGAACGAGGTCGCAGAAATCATCTCTGCTGGTAAGACAGTCTCTGTGGGCAGCATCAGCCGGAAGAGGAGCCCTGTGTTTTTGGCAAGAACTATGAGGCAGACGAGTACATAAATGCCCCGTCTACGGGCACTGTCAGAGGTAAAGTTCAGGAAGAAGCTCAGGAGCGGTGGGCTAGAGGCTTGGAAGTATAATTTTCATATTAAGGTCTATTTACTCAATTTATATCCCAAAAAGCCCCTTTCTCTCCTCTCTATCTACGGATAGGGGTATACTCGTTACAACATTACCGATCTTAGCCTTGATCTCCGAAGCCACAATTGGTGTGGATGCGGAATTTAGTTTCTCAATTTCAGAAGCAGCGGGTGGTTGCCAGCTACCAGCTGTCTTTGGCGGGACGGTGAGAGCCCATGCTATGCTGATATGAAAGGAGGATGAGAGGTCCTTTTTTGGGGAAGGTGAGCTTGATGGTGGTTGTGGTGGTAGTTTGCTTTGCCCCGTTGTATTGGGGTCAGGAGACACGGCGGAAGCGTACAGGGGAGGCTGGCCATGTGACTGGACGGTGCCGTTGCATACTCGTAGTAGCTTGTTCAAGTTATCCTGTAGCGGTTTTGAAACTCGTAGAGCCAGAAACCAGCGCGTCCCTTCGTAGTTAGACGCCCAATCGCAGCCATTGAATGTGATGGGAAAACTAGATGTAGTTAGTCATGTGATCAGGTATCTCACAATGGAAGGGGGAGCTCACGGATGGATATCGCTATTTGAGATAGCTGTTTGGATAGAAGAGAGAAACGCGTCTTTTGTGGCTGTGCTGAACCCAATGGGGCGGGACAGACTGATATGCAGCGGGAGAGGGGAGCCGAGGTCACTGGTAAGGAGGGACTGGACGTCCAGATCTCCATCGTATTGAGTCCCGTATCGGGACTGGCCGCGGAACGAATCAACGAGCGATGTGAGAAGCTTATGCTCGGCGGGATTCGGATACCCTGCGGTTGTTAGAATGCAGTTTGCATATAATGGGAATGGGAGGGGTTACACTCGATGTAGAGGTGGGTTGGCCAGTTGCCTTGGACATGGGGCGTGGTGCGTTTGCGCCCTCCGTGGAGGGAGGGGTCGTCGTGGGCGCTGGCACGGGCGTTGGAGGCGTAGAGGTCGAGGAAGCGGGAGGGTAAGGGGGGGAGGGAGGGGGGCGTAGCTTCGTGTTTCCGTTTTAGGGTATTTCGAGGTTTGAGGGTGGCTGGAGTGTTTGTCGACGGGACTGCTGTTGTTGGCTTTCCCTCTTTGTCAGCTGCGGAACTATCTTCTTCATCCTGAGGTTCTTCATCGTCGCTGGAGGAGCTATAGTCGACGAGAGCCATTTAGTGATGGAGAATGTCTCGGCCCTTGGGAGCTGTCCAAAAACAGTAAGCTTCATCGCGATAAGGCTGCGTTAGGGGCTGTGACGTCTACGATAAGGAACCTTTAATGATTAGTCATCAATTACGTCATCAGGTTTATGGTGGGGGTGGTGGGGTGAATAAAAATAGCAGGAAGAATCAACTGTGCGCCGGGACGCGTGTCGTGCCAACATCTTGGTCTTGGTCCGGAATCCGAAAAATGACATCAGGAGTGACATCAGGTTGTTGAAAATGGAAAGTACCATCTTGCAATGCCCAACACCAAACATATACCTGTCTAGCTTGGGTAGTAAAAGTACAGTTACATGGCTGGGTAGTGGGATCGGTGACGGTGTCCAGCCAGGGCCGGATACATCTTTTTTACCTCGCTCCCAACTAAATACGTCGTCACACCCCCGTTCCATCCCATTCTCACAGATATCATATTGTATAGACACTCCTAAAAAGTCCAATTTCTCTCCATAATCTCTCTGACTCCGCCATCTCGATTCAACTAGAATATCCATTCACTGTCTCTACAAAAGAGTTGCTGCCAACCCAATAAACCTGTGAGAGGCGCCATCAGCCCCATTGAAATAGGCAGCTCTACTCGAATCGTCTACGATATCACATATTGAGTTCAGCACTCCGATCAGCTTCTACTATCAGGAGAGCTGCAAATATGGGTAGTACATCTGAAGATAAAGACTGGGTAAGCGTCTCCTTCTGTGGTTGCAGATGATAGTTTTGCTGGCAAGAGTCGCTGACAATGTCTATTCCAGGCATCGAGGTATCTCCTTGACCCTCTCACGGCTCCAGAGCCCAGCCAACTCACGGGTCCTGGGACTCACTTTGGGTCCACGTTAGACAAGAAGCTCACGCCAACTCCTCCGGCCTCTACGAGGTCATCTCAGTCAAAGTTGTCGTCGAGGAACCCATTTCGTGGTACCCAACCCCTCATAGACGTCACCCAGAAACCGCAGGGAGGTCAGGGGCTCAACGACAAACCACTCCCGAGGGGGCCTCCAAGACAACGCCACGGCTCCCTGAGCCAGAGGTATCCAGGAGATGTGTCCCACCGACCTCTGGATGTGATTAGGAAACAGAATAAGTTGGCCAGTCAAGCGCCACATCTGAAGAAAAAGCATCTCCCTCAAGCAGACCTTATCGATAGCTTGGATGCTTCCATGGACCAGCTCTATCATCATGAGGGGCCTTACGATGCAACTCTCCTCGCAAGGAACACGAGCAAGTACCAGAGTCCTATCGACGCAGTTCGTGCATCAAATGCAGAGGCATTGAAAGCTACTCCCCAGGAGAACATCCAAGATGCGCTTAGCAGGCACGTTCCATTGCAGGGGGTTGGCATTGTGCCTGCTGGGGGACGACTCGCTTCTGGGCAGGTCATGGACTACACCGAGGGTGACGACTTGATGAGGGACTCTGACGCACCCGGCGGGGCTTATAAAAGATGGGACGGAGTAGTAAGTCTACTTCACTTTAACGTACATACCAGATATGATTCCTAACGATGAGACTAGAAGTACTTACCAGAAGATTATAAAGGAAAGGGCGAGCCGTCATTTTCTGCCGACGCAGCACGGGACAAGAGGCGTGGGCATAGGAGGATTGCCTCGGAGGACAACTTTGTCTACGAAATGCAACCAACACCCAGGGCAAGGCCATCGTCTCGTCAGCGAAGTATCAGTGGGGTTGGCCCCGAGCAAGAGGGCTCGCCATCAGATGCTGCGAGGTATCCAGAGTTTGGGAGAAACGGGAGACCAAGCAGCTCTATGGGGCGCAAATTCGGTGATGGTATCAAACGCCGCTTCGGCAGCTTGAGAAAGAACAAGAAGCCCACTTAAGAGTGAAGTGTTTAAGACGCATTGCATCTATATCGGCTCCTATAGCCGTTCACTCTTCAGTTGGCTTCTATGCCATGAGATGTGCTTTATAGGTGCCCTTGGAGTTCATCTCACTGCCAGGCACCAGCGGGGTCATGGCTTCAGTACCGTCACTTAGGCGCGGGGAAGAGGGCGGGGTAGGCAAGTGAAGAAATTATTGGGATATGGGATCGGAACATTCTTTCCTACGTGGCACTCACTCATATTCGCACCCACCCGTCGCGATGTACGATTAGTGATGGGTTGTGGCGCGAGTGAGACAATATGAGAAGAAGCCACGCCACGTTGCTTTTAGAGCTGGTCAGCTGGAATTATTTGAGCATTCTTGAAAGTCCGCGGGCAATTGTATTAATATTAGTATAGCGCTTGATTAAATAAATTTGAAAAGAGCCATAGCGGCAGTAAACAATAAGTTCCATAACGTACATGTATAGCGAAAGCGCCAAACAAGCGAAAGCGCCAAAATGATGCGGTGACCAAACCCCCCAACTAAATGTTAAATTCCTCAACAACAAAACATGCCCCATAAAAACGATGAAAGCCAATTAGTGCTAGCTATCCAGGCTATGCAAAGCGACCCAAAGTTACGCCTTCGAGTTGCTGCTAGGATCTATTCTGTGGACCACCGCAAGCTAGGTCGTCGTCTAGAAGGTGTACCTTCACGACGCGATATCCAAGCCAACTCACGGAAATTAACTAACCTAGAGGAGTCCGTCCTTGTTCAGTATATACTCGACCTAGCTGCCAAAGGGTTTCCTCCTCGGCTGTCTGTTGTTGAAGATATGGCAAGTCGACTACTTGCAACACGCGACGCGTCACGCGTTGGGTCGCGTTGGGCTTCAAACTTTGTTAAGCGGCGTGTAGAGCTCCAGACACGCTTTCAGCGCAAATACGACTACCAGAGGGCTAAGTGCGAAGATCCAGAAGTTATTAATGGCTGGTTTGAGCTTGTGCGTAACACAATTGCGAAATATGGTATCGATGAAGCAGATATCTACAACTTTGATGAGACTGGGTTTATGATGGGCGTTATCTCAACTGCTATGGTTGTAACAAGCTCAGACGGGCGGGCAAAAGCAAAGAAGGTACAGCCTGGTAATCGGGAATGGGTTACAGTAATCCAAGGCGTTAGTTCTCAAGGTTGGGCAGTACCACCATTTATCATTGTTGCAGGCAAAAACCACCTTACATCTTGGTATGAGAATAGTGGATTTTCAAGCGATTGGGTGATTTCTGTTACTGAAAATGGCTGGACTACAAACGAGAGAGGCATGGATTGGATTCAGCACTTTGAGAAGCATACAAAGGCCCGGAGTGTTGGTGGTTATCGCTTGTTAGTCCTTGATGGTCATGAGAGCCACCACTCAGATGAGTTTGAGGAGTACTGCAAGGAACACAACATTATTACGCTTTGTATGCCTGCTCACTCTTCTCATCTACTCCAGCCACTTGATGTTGGCTGTTTCGGCCCGTTAAAGCAGGCCTATGGTCGGCAAATTGAAGATATGATGCAGGCTCATATTTCTCATATTACAAAGGATGACTTCTTTCCTGCCTTCCACGCTGCATTTAACACTACAATGACGGAAAGTAACATTTGAGGCGGGTTCCGAGGGGCAGGGCTTCTTCCATTTGACCCTGAGAGAGTGATATCTACACTTGATCTTAAGTTAAGGACACCAACGCCTCCAAGCTCCCGCCCAGGTACTGCTCAACCTTGGGTTTCTCAGACACCAAACAACCCAATTGAAGCTATGTCACAGTCTACATTTATTAAAACTCGGATTTCACGCCATCAAAATAGCTCTCCAACCTCAATCTATGCAGCTGTTGACCAGTTTACAAAGGGTGCATCGCAAATAATGCATCAATTAGCACTGCTAAAGGGAGAGAACCAAAACCTACGACAGGCAAATGAAGTACTAAGCAAGCGCCGGAGAGCTAGGAAAACACGACTACAGCAAGGAGGATCACTTAGTCAACAAGGGGCGCAAGAGCTACAGGATGAGAGGGATGTTGTGCAGCAGGTAGAGCAGGAAATAAGGGCAAGCCGTGGTCGGAAGCCAAGGGAAGAAACCCGTGCCCGTCGCTGTGGCAAGTGTGGTGAGACTGGGCACAATGCGCGCACGTGTCAGATTGTAATAGACACCTCTGAGGAAGAGGACTCCGAGTAGTTTCAATTGATTTCTAATGTTGTGGTAGATTTATCGCAATGTTTGTCGTGAGGGTAGATAATTTTGGCGCTTTCGCTTGTTTGGCGCTTTCGCTATACATGTACAGTACGTTATAAGTTAACTGGTTAAAAAGTACCACCACCACCACCTTTCTCCGCCCCACCCCGCCCCTCGTGTCCTGCCTGGTCCTCACAACTCTTCTGGTGATGTCTCAGCCCTCTTTCTTTTGAAAAAAAAAAAAAAAAAAAAACGAAGACGCTCCTCGGAGTACAATATGAATAATATAAAAATAACTCAAAAACACTTCGCAGCAAATTTCAAGTTGAGCTTGAGCTCGAATCGACTGCAATACCAGCCGCAGTGACTCTGGCCAGATGTCGCTTGCAAGATTGAGGTTCGTGAGAATAACCATTCCCCTGTGACGGCCTCAAGAAGCCGATTATACCATGGGTTCCTCCTTCCGTGGCCTCGACATTCCTTCTCATACAGCAAGTTGTGTAGCCATAGCCCATTTAGCGGATGTGATTACTGGAGATCTCAGGCTGCCGCCGGCGGAGCTTGAGGCGGCGTGGGTTGCTGCTTCTGATCGTGTAAAGCCCGCGACGCTGGTAGGACTGCGGCGGTGACAGCAGGAGCACGACAGCAACAGCTTCAACAAACCCCCCGCTGGAATGCAACCCCTCCGCAGCCATAAGTCAAGGTCCTTGATTGCAGCACGGCAGCCTTGAGTTCCTCGGCGGAGAGGTTCAAATCCCGATGCATGGGCTCTTCTAACGAGCTGTGGCCTCAGTTACCGCTACCTCTTCCTTCTTCTGCCTCTTTTAGGTCATTCAAGGGGTTGCGCGCCACCTGACGAGATTTTTTTCGGGGGCTTCCCGTGGCAGCTGTCGGGAAATGGGACATATATGCCTTTCTTATTGTTCGTGGCAACCGAAGCCACTTTATCATTCCTATTCTGGACATTAGACAAAATTACGCGGGATGAGTTCCTGCTGCCCATGGCCACGCGATGCATAGGAACTTCAGACTTTCGCCTACGCTCGAGGCAACGTGGTTGGCGTTACTGCTGCTGCTCTCGTAAAGCCCGCGGCGGTGATAGGAGTGCATCCTGTGACAAAAGTGATACGACAGCAACAGCCCCAGCGACAAGAACCCCCCCCCCTTTTGGCCAAGATACACCACCGCCACAACCGTAATCAACCCCCATTGCCATTCATTCACTACAGGAAGGCCGTAACAAAATCAGAAAAATCAATAGGGGGTGGCGCAACCCTTGAGTTGCCTCTTGGGGGCCATCAGAGAATAAGAAAGAGGCAGCGGGGACTGAGGCGTGTATGTCGTCTTTCTTGAAAAGATAGATGCCCAGCACTTCTTCTTTGTAGGGTGTCCGTCATCGCTCGGTGCAGTATTCAGGGTCTAATCTTCCTTTTCCTCGGTTTGTCAAAGTTGCCCCGCGAAATGGATACGAAATCTCACATAAAGGGCAACTTCTCTGGCCATTCCAATGCCCCGCGTCCTCTACATAGCCATCGAGGCAGCCCTTACTTTTCTTTTCTGGACAGTACAGTCCATCTGGACAAGGCCCGGCAGCGTGGTCGGTATGGATTGCTCCTGCTGGTGTCACGGCCGCGGCGGTGGTGGGGGGAGTCCAGCGGTGACAGCAGCGGCACGACAGCAACAGCTTCAGCGACAAGAAGCATACCCCGCCATACAGTAAGTCGAGCTTCGATCGCCGCGAACAAGACTCGAACCCTCGATACACCCGCTGGAGGTGGAATAGGCGACGAGAGAAGTAACCCCTTGTGAGTGATAGCGTATCCATCTTTCCAAAGTAAGATATAAAAACTACAACTTAAATCAAACCAGACAATCAGAGAAACCTCACAATAGAATAGCAAAGTAAGATATTAAAACTTGATTTCCCCTCAACACACGCCCCCTACCTCCCACCCCCTTTCCCACCAAGCCTAGCCTATAAATACCAAAACCAAAAAAACAAGCAACCAAAAAAAAAGCAAAAAAGCCATCCCATGATCCATAATTCCCACACACACATACCCCCGCCCGCAGCCCGCAGCCAAATCCCGAAGAAAAAAATCAGGAAGCCCGAGCCAAGATTTTGTCATGCAAAAGAAAAAAAGCTCGTCTTATGCCCTATATAAGTAAAATGTTGTTGTTGCCAGCCAAAAAAAGCAAATGAAGAAAACAAGAACGTATAGAGCTGCGACCAAGGGGGAAAAGAAGTGCAAAATTTGAACGCCATGATTTCCCATTGCTGAATGGGGGGGTATCCTCATCGATCTCAGCCGCCCTAACTATAAGTCCGGCGTATTACATCCCCCTCCTCTCTCCTCTCAGCACCCACTCACGGCTCACGGCTCATGCTTAACCCTCTTCGCCTCCCCCCCTCCCTCCTCCACATCCGGACTCTTCCTCTTCCCCGGCCCCGCAGTATCATGCAAAAAACTTGGTCCACTCCCCACCACCGGTGTCGCGAAATTCAGCGGACTAGGGAGGGTATTCCCGTCTCCCCCCCTGAAATTCCACTCGGGGTAGAAACTACTCGGGCTGGGGAGGAGTTCATTCGTCATGAATCGGCTGGGGAGAGCAGAGACAGGAGTTTCGATTTCATTCCCACCACCGCCCCGGCCACCGCCACCGGGAGCCCCACCGCCGCCTTGGTTTGGTGGGTGGGGGCGCGCGAAGGGGTTTGGTGGACCCGAGGCGCCGGCGCTGAGGAGGGCGGATGCGGAGGGGGAGGGGGGGGGAGGACGACGCCGGAGCTGTGACTTGCGTCTGTGCCTGGCCCGCCGCGTTGGGAGGGGTGGGAACCGGTATCGTTTGATTCACGGGGGGAGTTGGTGGATGCGCCTGTTGCTTCACCTCCATCCGAGGGTTCATCGGGGATCTGGACAGTGAGGCGGGGTCGCTTGCCGCTTAGTTGCACGGAGTTGGTGAGGGAGGGTGGACCGGCTGGGGGTGTGAATTTGTCGGAAGAGGGGGGAGGCTTGATGGCGTGGTTTGTGGCGTGCGATGGGGGGGGTTTGATGGTGCCGTTGCGGGAGTCGAGGGAGGAGGTGGAGGCGCGGTTGGTGAGTGCGGGTTCGCCGCGGGTTGGCTCGGGGGCGGAGGTGGATGAGATCCAGTGCTGGGAGAGGATGGAGCGGGATTCGTCGATGGGGGTGAAGATGCTACGGGATTTAACGGAGGGTCGTTTTGGCTCGAACATCTGCCCCGTGTTGTGTGACTGTTGGGGTTGCGGCGGCGGTTGGTGGTGTTGTTGAGGTGATGGATGGTGTTGCTGGGGAGGTGGAGGTGCTAGTTGATGTTGTGGCTGCTGCTGCTGCTGTTGTTGTTGGTGCTGCTGCTGGGGAGGTATTTGCCGTTGTTGCGGTTGCGGAGGAGTATTCATAGGCCCCGATTCTTGACGTTCTTGCTTTGGAAACACGGGAGGCATTGACGATCGCCTTTGCTCTTCCATATACACCTGCTGAAGCTGGTGAGACGGTGGCGGCGGACCTTGGTACTGATATGAGGGCTGCTGCTGCTGCGGCGGCGGTTGGCTATGTAGCGGCATATTTTGCACGTGTGGAGGCATGTTCTGCCCATGCTGTTGTGGGTTGTACATCCCCGGCTGCGGCATATACGAGTAGCTGTTCATAGGAGGCGAAGGCTGAGGCCCCTGCTGCATATGCTGTTGCGCCAGATTCGAGTTTACGCGATGAGGAGCATTCCGTGACGCTGGCCGAGACCCTAGCTGCGGTGGCTGAGGTGTGTGCTGGCGCTGTATATTCTGGAAATGCGTGCCGTTCTGTATAGGAGGTGAAGCCGAGGGAGCTTGTCGCATGTGCTGAAACGCCGCCTGGGATTGGAAATGCGGTGGCATCATGGGCTCTCCTTCTGGTGGGTGGCCTTCATCCATGACAGAGCCGTCGTCATCCTCATCATCGTCGTCTCGTTTGCCGCTGAAGTCCGATGGACCCTTGTGCTCGTTTGCGCCGCCATACTGATTGATAATGTTAGCCACGCTCGTATTATCGATCGCGCAGTGCGCTACTCACAAAGTTGTGCCGTTGCAGGATCTCTCCAATATCCGAAGACGAATATTCGTATAACTTCTTGTTGTTGCCAAATATTATGACCGCGACGTCGACGGAGCAGAGGACGGAAAGCTCATGCGCCTTCTTGAACAGCCCTCCTTTACGCTTCAGAAACGTTCTGCAAGGGGTGTATGTCAGTCAACAAGCGCCAGCGAATGGGAAATCATCACCACGACGTACACTGAGCGATTTCTATCATCCTTGATAGCCTTGATCTCGATCTTGCGACGACCCATGATGAATGCGCGCCAAGTCCCGGTTAGTCGTAATGAAGGTGCCGTCGATAAATGGGTATCGTAGTGGTGCTGGAGCCTAGCGACGCGTCTAATTTAACTCCCCCAATCTCTATCGATCCTTCGCGCGACCAGAAATTATATCCTACAATCCTATTCCTTCAGTCCCGAGCTTCGTGTGGGTATGTGGCAGACCCGGTATATCCTCGACGGTTTTCGACTGAGAGATGGGGATTCCCAAGCTTCTCAGGCGGGTCGAGTAGAGAATTGAGCCGGCGCAGGCCCTCTCTAGAGACGAAGAGTCTCGATAATTACCAACGAGAGTCGATAGCGGGGTATTTTCGCCACGAAGATGTCGAGTCTTGAGGTTGTGATATACTTTGGCGCACAGTCGGCCCTTTTTGGGCTGAGCGATGATGTTGATGCTAATAATAGAGAAGGGTTCTTGCGGCGGAGGGAGGCGGCGTGTTCTCGTGCAGTGGAAAGGGTTCTTGAGGGTGCGTTGTGGGCGCCAATGGGTGACCGTAGAAATGAAAATGAGTGACATATCCAACAGTGTAAAGAGGAGTAAATGACAAGTACCACTAGTTGGATAGTGTGTCGCAGACTACGAAGTCCAGGTACGTACCCCATACGCCAGTCATGATTGGCGGAGAGGAGGAGCGTGCATGGGCCAACTCTGTACGGCGACAAAAGTATCCATACGGGTCTGTGCTAAAACACGAAAATGGCTGCTGCTTTAATAATATCATCTATTTACAATGCCTCGAGGCCCCGAATTGAGCGTAGAAACGCGTGCCCGAATACTTGAACTCCACGATATAGGATGGAAGACAGAGATTTCTTGCGTAAGGTTGACTTGACAGAGGAGGCAGAGGATATATATATATATATACACAAAGGCTTTCTAAGTAACACGTTACAGTATTATAAAGAATACTATATTAGGTTGAGCACGAAGCTCCTATCTAAGGAAATACTATCTACTTATATAGTAGCGTCGTGCTAAAGGGAACTATAAGGAACTATAGGAACTATATGAGTTCTAACAGTTCCTACAGTTCCAAAAGGAACTATAGGAACTATATGAGTTCTAACAGTTCTTACAGTTCCATCCTAAGGATCATGTAGGGTCCTTAGGCTCACTTGGCTAGTAGTTCTCCTAAGATGTGACTTACTCGGCTAGTAGTTCTTCTAAGAGCCGTAACACAAGTGCTCTATACAACTTAGTAAAGGAAGAAAGAGAGGATGGGTATTTGCCTAAGCAGGAAAGGAACGGCTAGAGCATAGCCTTGTTAAACCACGTTGCTATAGAAAGGCTAAAAGTAAGATGTTCTAGGCAGCCTTTGGCTATGGAGTACGTACGCACCTAATTCCCTTAGAGGGAGACCCTCTGTCACGAAGAGGAGGGGTTACTGCTTAGGTCTATAAAGCAGTCTTAGATACCTACCTACTTCCTATTCTAGGGCATACACCTATATTTATGCATGATAACGCGCCTACTCGTACAGCAGGAATTATTAAGGCGTGGCTTAGGAAGCATAGAGTTGAGGTTATGGATTAGCCGCCCTACAACCTAGATTTGAACCTAATTGAGAACCTATAATCGTTGGTTCTCAAACCACCGCCTGGAGGCGGTTGGCGAAAGCGAACTGGGACGCGAAAGCGATTGTGGGACACTTCGGGAGCGGACTCACGACGCGACACGACCGACCATGAACATGACCGACAACGAGCACAACTACAACCACAACTATGCCGGTAGTTGAAGTAAATAAAAATGAAGCTCTTTTAAATGCCATTGAATTTTTAAATGAAAACCCAACAGAGAAGAGTGCTACAGTAGCACGGATGTACAGAGTAAACCCAAGTACGCTCCGGACTATACGACTACGACAACGACGCGCATCACCACAACGCACCGCTGTGCCACGCGGAGGCCAGAACAGAGTACTGTCTGATGTACAAGTTACAGCTATACAAAGATACATCCAACGCTCGTACGAAAATGGGTACGGTGCAACTAAGCCTATGGTGTTCAGTGCCATCTGCCAACTACGTGCAGCAGAAACTCCAACACGTGCACCACCATCACAACGGTGGTTCCAGACATGGATTAAGACACAACAACACAACTTCCATACAATAAAAACCCGGCCAATTGAAGCAGCACGGGTTGCATCTCATGAAGTATCAGCTATTAAAGAATGGTTTTATGAATTTAAAGATGTGTGTAATCAACTAGATATTACTGCAGGTGATATCTACAACTTTGATGAAGTTGGATTCCGTGTAGGAATGAGCACCGGTGAACATGTGTTGGTACCATCTGCAGTAAAGGAGGTAAGTTGTTTCTACTTATCTTACTTTATATTATTCTAATATTTATAGCTTTATATACAAGCTCCAGAGAACAGACAAAGTCTTACAGTTATAGAGACAATTTCAGCTGCTGGCATTGCACTTCCACCGTTCCTTATTATACAAGGAAAATTACACATGGAAAGTTGGTACCATGACAATCTACACGGTGATGAGAAAGTTGCAGTATCCGATTCCGGATATACAAACTCTGAGCTTGCAATGGAATATCTACAGCATTTTATTCAACATACACCGTCTATAAGAACGAAATTGTTAATAATGGACTCTCATGTCTCACATGAAGTTCCAGAGTTTATAATACTTGCACATCAACACAATATACACTTACATGTGTTTCCGTCTCATCTTACGCATATTCTACAACCGCTAGATGTTACTGTGTTTGCACAATATAAACATTGGCACCGACGTGCAATTCAACAAGCAATCCGGAATTTTGATACAGATTATAATGTTATATCTTTCTTTAGAGACTTGTCTACTATCCGTAAGCAGACATTTACAAAGGGTAACTGTATCAAGTCTTTTAGAGATGCAGGTATTTGGCCACCTAACTATGAAAAGATTCAAGAGAAGGTTGCTATATATGCAAAACCAGAAGTTTTAGAAACACCACAACGCGCATTTCAAGCAAGTTATGATCTTTCAACATGGAGTCAAACATTTGATAAGATCCTTAGTTCACCGTCACGGCAAAAGTGGGCATCTTCTTATACTGAAATCCAAACTCAGTTAACAGAGGCTGAGCTGTTCCAGTCAGAGCTTGTACAAATTACTACTATTATGACTGAGCAACGACAGCGGAAGGTTAGAAGTCGGAAATCTATTCAAAAAGGCGGTGCTATTACAGTTGAACATGCACGGCAAAGGATTTATGAGAAGAAGGTAAAGGAGCAACTTTTAGAAGAAGCACGGGAGAAAAGAGAGAGAACACGCATGGTGAACGTTGAGCGTAAGATGCAGCTCCGTGCTGGCATCGATGCACGGAAGGCAGAACGTACACGGAAAAAGGACCTACATGAATTTCAAAAAAGTAACCCAGACACGGAGCCACCAATTGGCTTACGTACAGAAATCATTGACCCGGACGTTACACAGAAGAAACGTGAGGAGGAGGAGGAGGCGGACCGACTGTTAGCCATCGAGGAGAGTGGGTACGTGAACTTTGCAGGCTTGGACTACGACATGATTCACGATGCAAGTGACGGTGGCTGTGATGATCAATCACTGCCTGACAATATTGATCCAAATCTTTTTTAATTATTTAATTCTATAACTTATATATATTTACAGCATTGTTACGTTGTCAGTCGTGTTCATGGTCGGTCGTGTCGCGTCGCGAGTCCGCTCCCGAAGTGTCCCACAATCGCTTTCGCGTCCCAGTTCGCTTTCGCCAACCGCCTCCAGGCGGTGGTTTGAGAACCAACGATTAGGCGTTGCTAAAACTTAATGTATGCAAGTTATACCCACACCTACTACACGCCCTAAATAACGCAGAAACACTATGTCAATTAATTTGGGCTGCTATGATAGCATGGGAAAATATAGGAGAAGCGTTATTACTCAAGTTACTAGATTCTATGGTAGCTAGACGCGACGCTGTTATTGCAGCTGATGGGTGGTATACGAAATATTAAAGCGGCCTTCAATTTTGAGCACATACCCGTACGGATACTTTTGTCGCCGTACTGTACTACTCTATACTGCACCAAGCCGCCTATAAATAGATAGCAGTTTGGGATAGTACAGCTCTGTCACAGAACAACTTTCTCTGTGACCCCATAGAGATGGGCTTCATTCAGACATCACTCTCATCGACGTCAACACCAGGAGCAGCAGTACAGTATGAGCTTTGTCGTACATATCATACCGTACAAATCCGGTTTCTATCATCTCGCTCAGAATATCTCCCCAACTAGGCTGCTTCCTATCCCGCTCACTCGTTGCCTGGAGTAGAGTACACATATGGACGACGAACAGTATGATTGTAAACGAGGAGGCGCAGACGCCTGTAACCGCTGGTGTAACGCTGTCGGGCTGATTGGTACGTCTGGACGCGGTGCCCAGGAGAGGCTGACTGCCCAGCTTTCGTGTTAGACCCTTTCGGCCAGGTGTATAGCCCACACACCAGCTCTGTCAATTACAGTGGTGACTTTCTTACCTTCATCCTCTCTGTTGTTGGCCGGCAGTTGGACACTCCACACGCCCGCAGTCTCTTGCGGTTCCCAGCACGTCCGTTGTTAGAGTGCTGGAAGTGGATGCATCTCCAGCTTTACGAAACCACAAGTTGAGCCCACCACATTCTGCCCCACCCGGTGCCACAACCCCATGTTTCAGCCCTGTGCACCCTGTCCCAAATGTAATATCTACCCTCCTGCGGCTCTCCACATGAGACCCTGTTGCGTTTCCTGTTTCCGTTCCCGAAGTCGACACAGAACTAACTCCCACGTGCTGTGCTCCCATCCAAGACACACGATCACCATCGTCAAACCGTCCCTGTGAATTGGGGACACGGAAGGGAAAGACCTTCTCAATCGGGCCGTTACCCCCGCACAGGCTCGCATCATCATGCCTCACGTTCTCCATCACCACATGTTTTAAAGAGTGTTAAATTAAGCTTCATACAGTCAAATGCATCCCCATCCCGGTAATCTGCATGTGCCCCTATCCCTGGTCGCACAAGCTCGTGGTGGATAAGAATAGAAACAATCCCAAAATCCACGAGCAGCACATGCGCTTATGCTACACCAGGCACCACCGTCCAACCTCAGCGCGCCCGGTTCTCCCGCAGCCCTCGCGTCCTTAAGCTCGTCGTCGGCTCTGCGCCAAAGGGGAGCTGTAAACTCAAATTCCCCTTTGTCCCACCGTTCGCGCTGCTGCCGTGCTCCAGGGCCTTCCGTGCCGCGTCTGCTAACCCCTCTTCGCTTCCCCTCCTGCTCGGTAGGGGCGTCACTTTCCCAGCGAGAAGTCCGCGAATGCCTCCGGCTTTCCGGACGGGGAGCTCCGCTGTGCCGGCAGAGCAGACGTACAGCAGGTATTTGAGATTCGGCAGCGTGTGTCTGATGTCGATAAGTTTGAGACCCTGGCTCTCGGCGAGGCATTCAATGTCTTTGTTGAGCAGGAAGACGGCGTACTCGAACCTGAAACGGATGGTCCCTTTGCCATACAGCGGGAATGTACGCTGTATATCCACTAGCGTGGAGATTTCGTCGCGCACGATGGAGCGAGATCCGTACGGCATGACTGGGTACGGGATAGGTACCGATAGGTAATATTGGAGCATGTCGACTAATCGGGCAACATGGCCAAGGGCTCCAGCAACGACGTCCTCGTCGGAATCGTCGAATGATGTATTTGGAAGTAGTAATCCGCAGATTGTGAAGGTCAGAGATCGTGCAGTCGGTTCAATGGGGAATATATGGAGCAATTCCTCGCATATTCGCCGGCGCTGACCATGTATCTGCTCTGTGTTCGCTTGCTGGGCAACCATCATTTCTTCCACTTGCTGCTGGATAGATTCTAGTTCTATTTCTGCCTGGGCTTGTGACTTGGTGCCTTCGTCTATTGCTTTCCGCCTTGCGGCAATTGAAGCTTGAAGCTCGTCACGCTGTTTGATGGCGAGCTTCACAAGCCTTTGCTCTGATTTCAGGTACTTCGCAGCCAGCGCCGCCTCTTCTTCTGCCAGGGGCGTTTCGTCCACAGGCTGCTCTTGTAGTATAGTGTTTATTTGAGCCGCAAGTCGCTCGCGTGTAGCCAAAGCATCTTGTATAGAGTCATCCAGACTGGATAGCCGCATCAAAGCGCTGTATGAAGATGTGGAAACAGGCGGGAGGTGTTTTGGTGGAAGGGTAACCGATGGTAGGTCTAAAGCATAGATACCATCGATGAGGTGAATAATAACACAGTTAGGTGGAAGTTGGCGATTATTCAACTGCACTGGTCAGATACCATCTTCGAACACGGGGGATATCACATACTGATCCGAGGAAATGCAGGGAGCCAAGTTCAATTTCCTGTTCGAGGAACAACGAGTACTCTTTCCGCTTCACCCAGAATTTAATTGTAAATCTCGATAACCGTGTTATAGAAGGCCCATAATTAGTGAGATCAAAGAATCGAAAATTTGGGTTCTATATACCATTAGCATTGCTAGGGGCTTCTTGTGGCAGGTAACGGCGGGAGGCCGGATATATTTTGGCAACATCCACCAGACCGAAGTAAGAAACAATGGCACAAACCATAGCCTTTTCAGTAACCTCAGATATGTATATTGGCTCATCTTCTCCTGCACAATGCAACGAAAAGAAGGCATCGACCATCCCATTGTCAATGACGTCTTCCAGCTTCCTTTGCCTGTAGTCAGGGCTTTGCCCAGCCCATATTGTGCTTCTCCTCCGCCTCCCACTTGGCCGGATGTTGGCATTCAAATCATCTGAAGACGCCGAGTGTTGCAACGAGGGTTCATGGAGAGATCTCCTCAGAGATTCAAGCTTCTCTGGAGTCTTATTCAGAGTCGCATCGTCAATTGTATGGCCGCGCGGTCGGGCGAAGGTGAGGTTGCGCAGGTATACACCTTGCAGATGCCGTAGCCGACGAGTTTGAGGCGCCAATAAAGGCCGCGAGCCTTCTGTCGTCATTCCTATAATGCCGCAGACATGTTGCCAACTTGGCCTTGTTGACGATGCTGGAGCTGGTACGACAAGGCTGAGGTTCGGAACTGTCAAGGTCCCCACACCGACGGTTTAGCGCATCCTGCACAGACCAACTAGCCATTGTTCAACCTTGCTGTCGTCGAGGCTGAAAAACTTTAGGCTTCAAACACATCATTCCTCCCAAACTTGCAGCAACTTCGGACAAACAGAAACATTACCCCGAATATGGACAGTAAGAGAGGTGGCTATGGCTACAGACGAGAAAAGTCGCCACGTCACGATATCACCGCACCCCGGAGAGACCCAAACAATCGCATATCGAAACCGTCACACGCAGAGCCAAGTCGTAGTTTCCAAGACGCTCGGCCACGCCGCAACCAAACAACAGAGGATGAACAAACACGAAAGTGGGTCTCGGAGGAGGACAAATTTGTGCTGAAGCAGGCGAAAAAGAAAGCGGATATTCGTGTGAGAGAAGGCAGGGCGAAACCTGTCGATTGGTTGGCAGTCATACTACGAGTGATTGACCCTGACCGAGATCTCCTGGACGATGACGAAGAGGAGGTACAAGCCGATGTCGTGGACCCAGAGGGCGTATTTGAGGGGTTGGATGATGCTCAGCTGGCTGAGCTTGAGCAAGACATTATGTCATATATTACGCTTGAAACAAACATGAGAAACCAGGAGTATTGGAAGACGATGCAGATCATATGCAACGATAGACGCCAGAAGCTGAAACCTAGAGGCCCGGAAGAACGAGCAGTGAGTTCAGTGGCAGCCGACGTTGATAAGCTGCTTGGGCCGAAGACATATGAGCAGTTAGAAGCTCTCGAGAAGCAGATCCGATCAAAACTACGCTCGAACGAAGATATCGATGTGGACTATTGGGAACAACTATTGAAGAGTTTGCTTATATGGAAAGCAAAAGCAAAACTGAAGAAGGTCTATCAATCAGTGTTGGATAGTCGCCTCGATGCACTACGAAAGCAGCAACAAGAGGATGCGGAAGGTGTTTGCAACAAGCTGCAGTCTATTATTACTGCAGTAGAACCTGGGGTGCCTACCGCGGCGATACCATACTCTCAAGTTTACGACCCCGAGCCTTTCCTGAAGCTTGGCACTGAGCATAAAACCGAGATCCTGGATGAGTCTGACTTTTTACGCAAGGTATCTGCGGAGCGGGTTAGAATTCTCAAGCTGGGATATGTGCCAATGTCGCAAACTGCGGCCGAGAAAGGCAAAAGTCACACAGAAAAGCCCAGCGGTGTCACGACAGTTGGCATACACCCACCAGGCACGCAAAGGTTTTCTACGTTGGTCAATGAAGATTTCTCCCAGGCTACGAAACACTTATATGAAAGAGAGGTTGCCCGAGGAATCGACGAGAACGAAGAGATTTTCACCGCGGAAGAGAGCGTTGCGACGGCATCGGTGCCCCAATGGGCGGACAAGTATCGCCCAAGAAAACCAAAGTATTTCAATCGGGTGCAGATGGGCTACGAATGGAACAAGTACAATCAGACCCATTACGACCATGATAATCCTCCCCCAAAAGTGGTCCAAGGCTACAAGTTTAATATTTTCTATCCAGATCTCATCGACAAAGTGAAGGCACCAACCTACAAGATCATTCGAGAGCATGGCCGCAAACGAGGAGAGTCATTTGCCCCAGCGGGTGAAGAAGATACGTGCTTAATCCGTTTTATTGCCGGCCCTCCATATGAAGACATCGCTTTCCGCATCGTCGACAAAGAATGGGACTATTCTGCCAAAAGAGACCGAGGGTTTAAAAGCAGTTTTGACAAGGTATGGCATTCCACTATCCGAGACATCGGAGCTGTCAGCCGGAACCTTACTTGGTGAAGACCCAATCGCTGACATTGATACAGGGGATTCTCTCACTTCATTTCCAGTTCAAAAAGATTTATTACAGGAAGTAGCGGAAACGTGTGCTTTGTACATTAGATACTGGCAGCTGAAACCAGGGCGGATCTGGGACAGAAGTAGCTGCCTTTTGGGGCGACTCACGACCTTTGGACAAACAAGGTGGCTCTAGTCTTAAAATGATTTATATGGCAGCGATGATATGGATGATCGCAGGGGTTTGCCGGGGAGATGGGTAGGTAGGTTACAGAAGTGTATATCAAACAATCCGTGATGCAATATTTGCTCTGTTAGTAGCCTTTTCATCGCTGCTTGCTTTTTAAAATCGTGTGAGTGTGCTGCGTCGTTGCTGCGTCGTTGCTCCGCTGCTGCATCCGCTTTGCATACTGAGGCGCTCACGAGCATAAAATTATCATGCCTGTTCTTCTGTCGGTGGAGTCAATGAGAGCCCGCCGCCGATCTCCAACCCGACGCCATCCAACCGCCCCCTCAATGGAACGCTGATACTTCTAGCGCTGTTCTAGAAGATGGTAGCTCTAAGACCTCCAGGGTCGTCCAATTGTGTCGAATGCAGAGGCCCTACGGAGCCAATCCGTGAATAGCGACGGAACCCTCCTAAAACGCCTCTGGTACTTTGTTTCTGGCGCTATTTCCTGTGGCTACCTGCAAGTTATGGCTTGCTGCATGTGCGGCCATGTAGCTTCCTTCATCCCGCTTCGCAAATCACTGTCCTACCACCATGTGAGTTGACCAAGCTGGTTGGCCGCCCAGATGCAACTTGCAAGCCTATTTCCGTCCCGCCGTGCAATCCTCTGATTGTTTTCCATGGCCATCTTGTATCGGTAGGGCACTCTCTGTTTACCTCTCTACCTCCTTCGTCCAGGGCCCGGCTGCTGCATATCGCGCCCTGCCCTGTTTGCCCCTCCAGTCACACACACCAGGACCGCCCTGTGAGTTGGCAATACGTCGCATGCAGAATTGGCATCCCCGTTTCCTATCTGTCGGCTTCTTGGCCCCGCCACAAGCCACTCCTGCTCCGTCCCATATCTATGGGCTGCTTTAGTCTCCTTGTTCCTCTTCCAGAATACTTCTTTCTAGTTTATCCGAGATCTCAATGTCTTGATCTCCATGTCTGATATATTCGTTTTGGACACACGTTTCAGCTATTACTTCAAGATTCCCGAGTGTAACTCTAGAAGAGCTCTCACCATCATCATGGCCGCAAACAACTTTCAAAACGCCCGGCAACGTTTCGATGACTCCCCTCTTCATGATCAAGAGATCCATTCTCCAGAATCTCCCTTTTATACGCAAGGCTCTTGTTCTTTTCTTCTGGACAATCTTCAACAATCCCACCAAGATCACTATTATATGAACGAGCAAGGCTCATCATTCAACGGGCTATTCCGTCAAGTCTCGCCGTTGCCGTCAGATATGAATTCTTTTGGGCTAGGCGGTCCAAATTACTCCAATACTTCCCATGGAGGCTATTACTATGATTATGCCAACAACCAGAACGCGGACATCTTCTACAATGGCACAAGCAGCACAACAGCTTGTCCAAGAAACCACCAGCAATCATACAGCCCAAAGATGATAGAAGGCCTTGGCCTTTCAGATCCGTCTTTGCAATGCCAGCTGCGTGATGCGGACCAGAACCTCAGAATCGGAAACTCGGGTGGCTTTTACAGCAGACAAGTCTCGATGTCTCGATCACCTTCTTTGCCAGATGCTGCATCTTGCAAGGCTGAAGACGACGCTGAAGATGATGTTGCCTCGAACACAGAAGAAAGCAAAATCGGAGAACCTTACGCAAAGCTCATCCACCGTGCCTTGATGGGCGCTTCAAGCCACTCCATGGCTCTACAGGAAATTTACCAGTGGTTCATTGATAACACGGAGAAGGGGTCCTCAACTGGCTCGGGCTGGCGCAACAGCATACGGCACAACCTCTCAATGAACGCAGTAAGCTATCATTTCTTCGTATTGCAATCCCTTTCACTGTACTCACATATCACCCAGGCCTTCTGTAAAACAGACCGCACAGTCGCCTCGCCATCCGATGCACCCGCAAAGAAGACGTCGGAATGGGTCCTTGCAGACTGGGCCATCGCAGACGGCGTAACTCCCACGACTCGTTACCGTAAGACCACGTCAAAAAGGTCAGCACGGCTAGACTCGCACGGCGCCATGAACGCATCACGTCAGAACGCCGGCAAGAAAGGGGGAAGCATGGCCAGTCGGACGAAGACCCTGAGAATGACCCAAGGTCGCAGCCTAGGCTTCGATGGGCAGGCCTTGCGAGCGAGGGATGCTGAGAGAGACAGAGAGGCGCACAGAGAGAAGAGGAGATATCACCAGTTACGCACCATGGCAACGCCACCGCAGGAGGACTTGGAACAGCGCCCGTTCTCGCCAACGACACCAACAGCCGCAGCTGGGATGAACGTCGCCAATCCGTACTACTTCAAGGATTCGTCGTTTGAGGGCATGGATGTGGCGGTGTATGATATGGGCCATGTACAGGGTGTGTATACAGGGGATGATGGGCCAGTGTTTACTCACAATGGGTTACCCAGCTTTGACGGTGAGGGAATATGGCCGGGGATGCATGGGTACTAGTGAAGTAAGGCGGCGGAAACAACTGGTGATGTGGGGGAGAGGCTGCGATGTAATCGCATGATAAGATCTACGGAGGATGTCTGGGATTTTGGATGTTGGTCGCTGCGTTTTGGGGATTCTGGTGGCTTGAATAGTGGCAGCCCCCACCCCACGACTTCCGGGGCGGGGCCTTTGCGAGTCCAAGGGTTAGTGTTGATAGTGGTCCTGGGCTGGGCATTTTGAAATTCAATAGATCGTAACTTTAGGGTGTGCTTGACACACTTTGCAACAGCACAAACGGCATTGTCCATCCGGCTTACTGGCCTCTTCCACAGTGATAAATGTTGCGTCTTACCTGCAACTGAGTTCACACGTCGTGCGTGCATTTGGCCAGCCCTCATCACCAGCACCCAACAACCAACAACCTTCTCTAGCGTGCATATGCCAGCCTCCCCTGCCTGTCCGAGTGCAGATCTTAGATCGTTCTTCCATCGTCAAAGGAGGCCTTCTCGGTGCATCACTAAAAGCGGGAAAGCCGCGCATCTCACAAACGGGCCATCACTTCACCTCATGCGACACTTTTCACCACCAAGATGCGAATACTAGTGCGGTCCTCGATGCATTCAAGGCCCTTAGTAATGCAGGATGACATCCCATCGCTGTCTCAACGCATGACAGTCTCCGAGACCTCTCTGGGTCAGGCGTTTGGCGACGAGGCGCGTATCCTAGACATAGTACAGGCAGGTAGCAACTGAGAAGGTGCAAACGAACGCCGTCGCGGCAGCCACAGTACAGTAGGGTATGGGCTAGGATGAGACAGAATGTGATTGGTCGGCCTCGTACGAAGATCTACTCATATCCAGGGTTTATTTTGTGTGACCCCATTAAAGTAGTTGCATTCTAATATTTGGGGAATTGTGGAGTTGGTCGTGTGCAAGCCTTCTAAGCCTTTACAAAGCCTCGAGTAGTAACTCGAGAGTCCCCCACGTCTCTTCCAAGTGGATTTAGCTGCAGCAGACCGCGGCTAGTAAATTGCGAAGCGCCCCCTCACGTCCGCACTATCAGATGAGGAAGTAGATTGCGCGTGTAGATGCATGCGGGGATGGATGCCGGGCCGCAATTGTCAGTGCCTTGCGGCGGCAGACCATGAAAGTGGTATCTTATTGCGAACCTTTAACGAATGATCATCGCGAGCACTCGTACAGTACATACTACGGTTGGATTACATTGCATGGATGGCTATGAGACTACTTCCGTTCAACGATTTGGTACGGTATTTGCAGATCCCAAGCGGCACCTTCTCACGAATTGGTGACCAGTGCCTCGGGATGCTCTCCCCCACCTGGGTTTTGTCAATATTGGCTGCTTTAGCTGGAATCCAAACCCCCATTGCATGCTATACTATGAGTAAATAGGTAAAGATGGCTGTCTATCATGCAGCCCGAATAACATTCCTTCGAAACTGGTTTTCTAGAAGGGTTCTTATCCCTGACCGTCTGCATGCAAGAGGCGAAGAGTGAATGCCTATGCCTATGTCGTTAGAACATGCAGCTGGCCAGTGCCAGGTTCCGTCAGCCACGAGACAAGAACTCTGATCCCACATACAGTACGGCGCCATAAGTATGAATACAGGTCTGTGCTTAAATTGCAGTAAACGAGTGTCTTTTTGTATGGGAGAAGCACAGACCTGTATGCATACTTATGGCGCCGTACTGTACATCCATTGTTCATTAGTTAGTTGACAGGTCACTTCAGCTCCTGTCTCAGACTTCACCTATCACTCTATCACATCTTCATAGGGGGTTGCAATACGGCCGCCCACAGCAAGCCCCCACGGTCCGTGCCGTTCTAGGAGACATCCAACGACCTTTCGAAGGTGCGTTTGACAGAGAACGCTTACCCGGTTTGGAAACGGCGGCCGTGGTTCTGTGTCACTCGTGGGCCTCCAAAATCGTCCCCGGCGAGGCTGGGACTGGGTGTCAGCCACATTCAGGTAGGTTCCGCCGATGCAGGTCAGGTATCACCACAAGGGTCAATGCACTGTATCAGCAATATCGCATATCAGATTCAGGATTCATTGACGCCTCCTCACATTGCCACTCTAGTCTTGGTGGCGAAATAGACGATAATGTCCTCAGCCAGCCATATCCCACCAGTCTCCGTTCTATATCTTGGCTTAGAAAGTAATCTGCATAAAAAAGCTCCGTTTGGGATGATGTACGGTATGTTGCGCCGACGCCACCGATGTTGGCTTCTGGATAGATGTTGACGTTTGGCGTATTAAATCCACGCATTAGTCTTGGTGTGATAACAAGGATGTGATATTAAGATAGCATAGAACAAATTCTAGAACCACACATTGCATTCCAGAGTGCGTGGTTGGAGAAATAGAGTTCAACTAGCGACCTGGCACCGGACCAGTTAGGTCGCCCAAGCACCTGCAACTTGGTGCTTAGAGAGTTACACCTTGAGTACCCCCAATGGAGGGTAGTTTGGCGGAGGATAGAAACCCCCCAATGCTATATGCCCAATACTATCCAAGAGGCCTAACAGTAAAACCGAAGTCATGGAAAAGTGCACATGGTTATGCTCAAGCTGTTCCTGATTGATGTCGCAATTCTAGCTTGGTGGGAGACTTGGGAAAAGGCCCCTCCTTCATAGCCCTCAGCAATGATCTTTGAACTTAACATCGCCATAATTTTTCCTGTTTCTCAGTGTCAGCAGAGGCCCAATAGTATATTTATTGAGACTGTAACAATGAGATATGATTCAGAGAGAAGATTGTGTTTCGACATGATCGCGTCGTAAGCCAGCAATCCATTTGCTCCATCTCCACAGCCACCCACCCCCAATTTGGGGCGACTGCTTAACTGAAGGCAAAACTTCAAGCCAACCTCGCACGAGTCCGACTAAGGATGACGATACAATGGATTTCATCATGGTAATATCTTGAGAGAAGAGGGTATGTGAGACTTACAATAGATGGGAGGGAGTCTCGTCCATGACAAGATTTCATGATACCAGGGGGAATGGCAACTCGAGGGGTGATGCGTGCTGTAATTTCAGCTTTGTCGCAAATAGTACTAATTTATAAAGTCTGACAGTTATAGTACTGGATTCACACGTCGTCGTACGAAATTGTCCTTCGCTGAGGTCCCGCATTTCGTTTTGGTGAAGGCCGAGCAACATCTTCCTCGTAGTCTAACGTTTCCAAGCCATGATCGACCTGGTCCCAAGTTCTCTTTCTCAAGTCAGGTTTGATATTCCTCTTGAAATGGCTCTTTTTCTTCTTGTTGTCCTCTGTGCTGGATTTCGTTTGTGATGATTGTCCAGCTTCTGACTGAGTGAGTGACACCTTTGAAGCTTGGATGCTAGGCAGAGATGCATCCTGAGGCCCAGGATATTCTCCAGTTTCTCGTTCCAAGTCTGATGATCTTTCTGCCTTGTGCGCTTTGGCCTCGTCGGATTTTCTCTTCTCCCTCAGCAATGTTTCAATCTCAGTGTGACGGAACATGGCGATTTGTCCGTCTGTTAAGGTCCTCTTAACGCCATCATCATAGTATCCTAAGTTATCATCTTCCTCCTCGGCGACTCCTTCAGCTAGGAAAGTGGTGGCAAAGTGATCTTTAGAATGTCCCGAAAAGTGCTTCGTGTAGAAGTCGGCCAGTTCAACCTGGCATGGCTGTTAGCAAGACGCACCACCGACACATAATAGCTGTACATACCGTGGATACCAATGGCACAGTACCAGCCAGCGAGCTTGCAGGAGGTACTGCCATTATGAAGTAATTCTCGTCCCATGTAGTTGAAGTTTTAGTTTCTTGTCTCTGGCCATGAAGTTGAGCTTTGTTTGTAGACAGGAGAGGTGCTGCAAGGCTGACAAAATGGCTTTCGTCACGTGTTAGCATATAAAGTGAACGTCAAAGCTCCAATATATATTCCACTGTCGACTCCTCAGCTTGAGACTAATAATACCGATTCTATTACCTCGAACTTTCGTCGGTGCCTCATACCATACGACGTTATATATTTTGTCATTGCCTGGTTCGACTGTACAATTTCCAGTATTAGCCATAGAGCCGCTTGGTATCAGATGATATATGCAACGTCATTTTACAGCAGTCATATCTCAGTGCTTCACTATCCAGGTTACGGGGCTATACAGCTACCGCAGTATTCACCGATTTGAAGTCTATACGCCGGGCTTAGGTGCTTGCAATGGCTGTATCATGGCGCCCGTTTATGATATCAGCGATAGACTCCCGCATGCCCCCTCTACTAATTTCAACTATCTTCACCGCGGACTCGTATAAAATATACCTCACAGATCTCGCCCATCTTTGGTGCGAAGATCTCGACCGGCGCTCTATTTTGCGCCGAAGCATCGCGGAAGACACAAACATCGATCCCAGCGAGGATGCTGGCCAGCTCAAGCTCTTCCTGGATAAAATCTCGCTAGGTCTTGAGGGTGGGAAGGATGTTGACCTACTCCTCGGCCTTGACAGTCATGTGGGCAAGGAAAGTTCAACGGGGGCGAGAAACCTGGAAATAAATATGAGCATTGCTCTGCCCAAGCCGTTGCTGCCTCTGAACTGGACAGTAAGACTTTGTTCCTGCCCGCAAAGTGACTTTGCCACACATTTCACCATACCCCTGTTATATGCTCAGAATGCCAGGCTCAAAGAGCTTGATAGCCTGGTTGGCTTGCTCCGTGACAAAGACAACGTCATCCAGAAGTTGGTTGACAAATTGGAGGCAACGGGAGCAGAACTGGGGCATCTTTTCCCTGGGGTTGCGGGTAAAGGCGGCAGGAAAATCCCGAGAAGGGTAGTTGAGGAGAAGGTTAAGGGATTGGAAGTATTCGCACAAGAGCAGTGGCGTAACACCATGCGGAATGCTGAGGCTGAAGACGAACATGCTGGTGTGAAAACCATTATTCAAGGTGCTTTCACTAAGAATTCTCCTGTTGGCTCACTTGCCCATGGTGCAGAACTCCCATGCAGATTTGAGAAATGGTGGGATCAGTTGAAAGATGGGGCGATACCTTTGTCGACACCAAAAGATGGAGGGAAGATCGCTGATGCTGGTGCTGGTGCGGAGGATGTTAAGGCTGAACCGACAGACGCAGATATGGATACAACCGAAGATGAAGGCACAGAAGGGCAGGCGGACGATTTCCAAGTTGCGGCAACACCACCTTCATCGTCACGTAAACCGACTCGGAAGCAAGAATTATCAGACGACGATACGGACGATTCGGATGACCTCGGTGCATCACAGTCGCAGCAACACGTCACGATTCGTGACAGCTTCCCGGCACCAAAAGAGGAAGTACGCTCAGAAACAAAGAAGATCGGGGCGATCGGGGGGGCTGAAAAGGCCTCAAAAACAGCCACCAAGATGAAGCCGGAAGCAGAGCCAGAGCCAGATCCAGAGCCCGAACCTGTAGCAAGAGCCACGAGAAGCCACAAACAGGATGATGCCGATGACGACGAAACCGAGACGGAGGACGAGGGCACGAATGCTCCGTCTAAGCCCACTACGTCTCAAAAGAAATCACCTCCAAAACCGGCCGCCAAAGCTGCGAAGAAAGGAGGTCTTGGGAAGATCGGAGGGAAGAAGTCTGATCCCCCGCCAGTTCCTGCGTCTCCATCAAAGGAGGATGCACCGGACACTCAAACATCGGAGCCCCCACCAAAAGCCACGAAGTCCAGACTTGGCCGGATAGGACACAAACCTCCCAAAGAAGAACCTGCCGCTGATGATGAGTCGAGAGGAAGGACGGAGGCGAAGGAAGAAGAGAAGCCGCGGGAAACGTCGGAAGAGAGGGCACAACGAAAGCGAGAGGAGTTGAAGCGACAGTTGGAGGAGAAAGCCAAGGCGCCTGCGAAAAAGAAGAGGAAGTTCTAATGCTGCCTACTCGTGTCGCTCAAAGTTCGAGGAGGGGTTACGTACATATAGCAGGGTTAATATCAGCAATTTAAACCCTCGGAACCTATCTCTTCACTTCTATTTACCAGTATCTTGCTTACTAATTGTCGCTCTGAGTGATTACACGCCTTTACTATATTATAGTTGCTGTGATTTCTGTCATTATGTACAGCTCCAGTTCAGACCTTTGGTCTTGCTGTCACAAAGCTACCCTCTTACAGCGGTCCCGCCAATCATTTGTGCAGCTTTTCCTCAAAATACTTATCCCACTGCCCCACCGTCCATGAGCTACTAATGCTGTTGTCCACAAGACCATCCCACAGCACAGTAGGAGACACATGGATCCCTGTCTGCCGTCCCAACTTGATGAGCAACTTCAAATCATCCGTGACCTTATTCCCAATATTTAACGCACCTCCCTCGCCAGCTTTCTCCCCCACAACCAACAGCTCATAGAGTTTCTCCTCATCAGCTTGGTGAGTCCCGGGTCCAGAAGCCCCCAAGGCACCGTAGAGTTTAGCAAGACGTCTGTATGTCTGGTTGCGCGTTTCGTTTACGACGTTGACATCGAAGAACTCGGTCTGATGCTTGAACAGCACCGCTGAGTAGGCCCAGAATGTCGTGGGGTCCAGGCGCAGTGCTGCAACGCCTGCTTCATGGACGAGGGTTGACGAGGGATGCCATGGCTGGACTTGCTGGCGGAAGACGACGTTGATCCTGCCTTTGTACTTCGTCTTTATGATGGGGAAGACCTTCTCATAGATGGTCTCAAATTGCTTCTTGGAAAACTGAAATTTAGTTAGATAACTGCCCGGTAGTCCTGCGAGTTTACATGAAGTTGTGGATGTCTTACCGGACAGACATAGTCCAAGTAAACTTCCAACGTGTGCTTCGGTGCATGTGAAAGCGAGGAGAAAAGCTGCCCATAGAACTTCGGTGCGAGCGCCATGTTTCTGAAATATGCTACGGAGTAGTTCTGGCAAACAGAATATCGTGTTGAAGTCTCTCTGTGTGCTCTTGGAGGCGTGGATTGCAACGCTGGATTGCGACTTAAGACGTCGTGTTGCAACATGTAACCACATCTATGACGCAATGTGGGGGTGGAGTTGGGGAGCTTATCGGGAAGCTAAGAAATGTAGGGGTCCAACCCCTGATATTGATGGATGCGGAACAACAACATTGTGAGAGTCTACTACAGTAGTAGAGCAGTTATTGGATTTCCATATTTTCATAATGATATTCATATAATACAATTGTCTATTTGTCTACCTTGTCGAGTAATCGCCCATCAACACTGGACCCCCTCCCTTCGGTAGCCCGGCCGCAATATATCGTGATGGTGGACTCCTGAAGAACCATCCCTTATCAAAGCGCCATGCAAATGCCGCTGAACGCCTCGAATGCCCATCCCGTGCCTTCCCATTCGCAAATTCGAAACCCTCAATCCTCCATATTCATCCTTCTTCGTCGAGACTCTTATCTTAAAAACGTCGCGGGCTTTGTTTCTTTCTTCTTGTCCTACGTACTACCAACTGGCAGTTCCTGGCATCATATGCCTTCGTCTTGGGGTCCCATACCCCAATAACTTCCAAAGTAACAAAGTCAAGTTGCGTTTCTATCTCTACCCACCCGGTAATTACGATGCTGCCCCTAGGTATAACTTTCACTTGCTTCCAATTGGCGGTATTGGTGAATCTGAAAGTAAAAAGGGCGTGAGCACAGCGTTTGGCCATCATCTTATACAACTCAGTGTCTCTGATTGTCCTGCGCCCTGGTTGATCACTGCCGTTTTGGTTCACGTTTTTAGCTGCTGATGCGGCATCCGATTGGGTTTGTAGGGCCTTTTCGCCAATGTGGCCGGGTTGCTTGTTAGCTGACTCCTGGGTCTGTTGTGCCGTGGAATGGTTAAAATTGCCGGCCTGTGTCGTGACGCCGACTCCGCCTGTAACTCTGGCTTGCGTGACCTTTTCTTCGGTTACTTTTTTGTCGCTCGAGGCTAGAGCAGGATATGTCTTCTTAGGATCAGGAATCCTATAATGGGCACGCATTATGCTGCGTGTTTTCTCTTCTGGATCTTGGCTGAAGAGAACTTGCACAAACTTCCAAGTAGCTTTTGCTACAGCAACAGGGAATAACGCTTGGCGGATTCGCAAAACAGTTTCTTGATCGATGGGAATGGTGCTCCAGGAAATGAAATCGTCCGTAATTTCAATGCTGCAAGCCAATAAATGTCAGTAATGTGCGGAGACGCAGAAGGGGGGCTGTATAGCGTACCCTGAACGCACGAATTCTGGTGGAGGGCCGTAAGGGTAGATGATGTCCAGCCAGTGTTTCAATATTCGAGCACCTTTGCCCCCTTTTGCGTTTTCAACCGATCGTCTAGTGATCTCGGCAAGTTCAGCTGTTCACAATCAGTAAGCAAGCCTTCATATAAACAGATGGCAACCCATACCTCTAACTTTCTTAATAAGCGTAACATCTTTGCTGAACTTTATATACTCTTGCCATTCCGGATCGCTGCCTCGATACGGACTTTGAGGGATTTGCTTGATTGTGCCTGGGAATGGTATGAAAAGCGCATCTTCCAGGTCCTCCAGCGTTTCGCTGTCCGATATGGCTCCTTCTTTCTCGAATTCATCTGCCAGTTTATCGAGCGGTGCAAAAGCTGCTTTGGTGAAGATATTATACATCAAAAGTATTCCTATTGCTGAACCGAGCATATATCTACAGGCCATCAGTTTACGAGCGACAGTTTGTGGCGGGGACGGATTTTACCTCCTGCTCATAGGCGCTTTCTTGAGGCGCACCCCTTGAACTAATGCATTACCACCATCCCGTCGTACTCGCGCGTGAACCGATAAAGGCACGCGGTTCAGCCTGAAAAGGCTTGATGTGGCACGAAATGCCCTGAACATTTGGGCCATCAGGGGCCCCTTCGGGGGCTAGCAAGCCTTGTAGGGCGTTTATCTTCTAACGCGGTGTTGTTTTAGGCGTCAGAAGCTGCAGATCTCATCTTAAATCTAATCGTATTGACATGTGCAATCTTTCAGTTGCAATAACGTCAGGCGTATGTTGTCTTAATTATTCTGATCGGCGCCGTGGCCCAGATGAGGCCTAGAAAGTTGAGCCGCCGAGGGCGGTAAATGACGGCAATATTTCTGTATTCGGGTTAGCGCAACCGAGCCCAATGAGCTACAGCTCGTCGACGCTATCGCGACTCGTAAGGTAGACGACAGTTCAGTGCCTCCATCCGTACGAAAGGCCTCATACAGCAATTATGAGGCTCTCATTTGGCTTGCTACTGCCAGTAATCGCTGGGGTAGCGCATGCTACTTCCTCACGCGTCGACAGCTTCGTATTCACAGCATCGAAGGAACTGGATGCTGGGTCCGTTTCCCTTACTCCAGAGCAAGTCAGGGTTGTCCTGGCGCAACAACTCGATGTCACACAATACCATAGATTAGGTGCCGGAGACAGGAGTGAAAAGGAGCTGAAACTCATCAACACGTTGGGCGGGCAGCACCCTAAACTCTTCGATGAGGATGTTGCGGGGGCAACCTCTCCTAGGCACCTAGTGGTGTTCTTGGACGTCTCTCTTGACGGAAGCAAGGCCCTCAAGGCCAAATGGAGTGAAAAAGGTCGGACGGAGCCATCATTTGTGATGGTAGGAAGTCCAGGCCGTGAGTCCGTTGGCACTCTCGTTCGAGACATCCAACAGCAGATTTCCCCGCGAGAGCTTCCTAATGAGCAATGCACTCTTACCAAGGCCATCGATGTGTCTGCCTCCGAATGCTGGCACAACAAGAATAGCCATATCATGCACAAGTTCACCGATGATAGCGTAAGTAAATTCTTTCTACCTCTCACAATCTCCACTAACAACTTCCAGTCCGACTTCGACACTTTCGTCAAGAGCCAAGACTCGCTTTTCAGTGCGATCGAAAAAGGAGATCTCGAAGCGACTTTCCTTCTGATGACACCAGGACAGACCAACCGCTTCAAGAAGCAGCCTTGGGGATCGTATTCGCTTCCAGCTTCTGACTCCGATCTTCGGAAACGAGAACAAGAACAGCCAATGTCGGACATCGTCTCTTCCTCGTCCTCCTCCACTCTTTCTGGACCTCTACCTACTTCTACCCCCATCGGTCGTCTCCCACCGCTCTGCTACAACACACTAGAATCTTGCACCACATCGACACAAAACTGTTCAGGGCACGGGGCGTGTTTTCGTAAGTTCGGCCCCGCCGAAGGGGCGTCGGGCGCCAGTTGCTTTGCCTGCAAATGCTATGGCCCAGACCCAACGGATAAAACGAGGAAGGGCTACTGGGGAGGGGCTGCGTGTCAGAAACAAGACATAAGTGCGCAGTTCTGGATCATCGCTGGCTTCAGCGCTCTCCTGATCGGGATTGTAAGCTATGCCATTGGGATGATGTTCAGCATTGGGTCCGAGAAGTTACCGGGAGTCATTGGGGCTGGAGTTGCGGCGAAGACAAGGTAGACGGTGGGAAGGTAAACGTCTGGATGACGTGAAACCGGAATCACTGCTTTCTACGTTTTGTTTTAGCTCAAAGCCAGGGCTCGGGTTGGCGTTTTGATGTAGAATCATGTATACATAGCGATTACGTGCACTGCACGGCTTTGAAGGATATTAGGAAGACGATGCGAAGTCTGTTATAATACTCGTTGTTTTTTGTGAGGTTTGAAACAATTCACTTTGTATACACTATCCCAGCGATGGAAGCATGTGAATGATGTTGAAAGGGTCATTGGGGATCAGTCATGAATGAGCTGAAATGCGATGCCCTCCCAGCCCGCGGTTTTGTTACAACATATCTTCCACTAACATTGCCGCTTTCTAAATCCTCGGGTCACGGATACCTACTATACAGAGCACATCTTGGTTGTTGCAGTAATATTTCACAGTTCCGAATTGATGTATCAAAGATAATATACCCTTTATATATCGTATATCTACATTCTACCCACGCCAACGCCGAATGACACCCCATTTTATCACCCTCAGTGCTTCTTCCCAGTCTTAGCCTTCTTATTGCCCCGATCCTTTTTCTTATCTCCCATCTCCTCCTCGTAAATCTCTGCCGCGCTCTCGCCCGCCTTCCTCTTTGACTTAAGGGTCTTTACACTGATTGCCGATGGCTTCGCTCCCTTCTTCGTCGCCTTGAGAACTTCCTGCTCCGCATGTGCCCATCCCGGTGCTTCAGATGCGATCTCATATCTATAATTACGTTAGTTGGAGTTATAATTTGTCGATATAGAAAGAGACTTACTGGTCCAATGGTAGCGCATCGATAAGCTCCCTCTGCTTCTCCCGCAGTGCCTTCATAGCCTCGTCACCGCCCTCCTCCAACTCATCTTCCAGGTTGGTTTCAAGAGCCACAAATCTCTCGTCTATGATCTCATCGTCGTGTGCGGCACTTGCATCCGCACGGCTTACACCAAGAGTCTCTTGTTTTGGCAGCTCGGCGTCAATGGCTCCAGTCACTAGGTTCCCAAAGTGACTCGACAACTTCCGCATGATCTTGATGAACATGGCCAACAGCTGGCTACTTGGCAGGTTAAGCTCGCTCTCCACAGCAGTCAGGTCTTTGCGTTGCAGGCCGACAGCCAAAAGAATGGCAGATTGCACGCCAGTAAGCTTCAGCACAGGGAGGCGGCCAGTGAAATACAACGCCGCGAGGGTTGGGATCAAGTCCAATACAACATGGTAGTCGAGCATGTTGTTCGCATATGACTCCAAGCGCTTCAGGTCGAACGGAGAGAGAAGACCGTCGAGTTCCGTCTTAATAAGTCCCTTGGCCTCATGCTCAGGGTCCAATTTAAAGCCCCCACGAGCTGATTCGTCAATACTGAGCGCAGTGATAGAGGCGAAGTCTCGGAACTGGTACGAGAGGAGAGAAAGGAAGCGCTTGTGATAATCCCTAGCAAAAGCTCCCAGCCAAGCCTTGTCGTCCCCATTCTGCAATGGGCGCAGCATAACACACGTATGTTCGCCAGTCAAGTCATTTGCTGTTTGGCGGAGGTATATGGGAACAAACTGCGAGCGTTTCCAGAACTTGTGCAGGGGCTGTGTGAGACCATAGGACACGCCGATATAATCGAGGTTGTCAGGTCGGCGCTCTGTGAGCTTGCTGAATAGCGGAGGCATTTTGCGGATGTCCCTGACCTTGATATCGTCATCCAGTAAGGTAGCATTAGCAAGCTCCTCGTCTGTGACACGGGTAATAGACTGCTCAGCTGATAGCGGAGCGGCGTCCTCAGAGAGACTTGCAAATTTTCCTTCGTAGAAGTCGTTGAGAAGCTCAATTGCGCGCGCACCATAGCCCATCCCGATATAGTCTGGGTTGGTGGCAATCCTCACAATGCGAGCTCCAGAAAGGCCGGCAAAGTCCTCGTCCTGGAATTGCTGGGATACCAGCCAAGGGATGAGATCACCTGCGGCGCGCTGTCCACGAGCAAGAGAGTTCAGTACTGATTGCTTGGAAATCTGACCTTCAAGGGCTATTTGTATGACGACAAGGGGTTCCGGAAGACGAGCACTGTCTTCGGACACAGGAGGGACGAGGACGAACAGCTGGTGAGCTGGTGCATCGGACATCAGCTGAAGGTCATCTGGGGAGTTTTTGTAATGTGACGCGACGTATAGAGCGATCATTTGTTGCAGGAACTTTTCGGAGACAGGATGGAAGGAGAAAAGGGTGTCGCGGTTGACATTGAGGAGTTGGCACTGAGATGGGTGAGGGCAGCCTTGGGTGTTAAGCTTTGAGCGAGGGAGGGTAGCATCGAGGCAGAGGAGGTTGTTGAGCCACTTCTCAACTAGATCTCCCTGGGTATAACGAATGGGCTCTGACAGGGTGATTTCGCGAAGTGAACGACCTCCTGTAAAGCTGTTGTCGGATTTAATAGCCTTGCCGCTTGTTCGATCCATCTCCGCGTCTTCTCCTGTAGATTTGGTAGTTCCCCGCGATTGTTCACGGAGCTGCTTAATCAGTTTCAAAGATAGCGAACGCCCAGTTCCCTCATAACCGTTAATTGTTGATGCCATGAAGACCAGGTAAGGTCCCATGAGTTTTCTGACAAGAGGTAGAGGGATAGCCGCCGCCTCATCAATAACAAGTAACTCAGCCTGGCCTAAAACATGTGCGTCCTGGGGTCTGATATATTGGATAGTTTGGCGATGCTGGCGATGTACGTTCACACGGACAATAGCTTTGTTGAAATCGGGATTCGTAGACTGGATGATGGAGTAGTCGACATGGTCCATATAACCCAACGAGTCGAATCCTTTGAAGATGAACTCGAAGAGCGTCTTCAAATTCTCTGGGCTTGGAGAAGTGATGAAAATGTTGCTGTAACCATGTGCAACAGCAGCCGCCACCGCAACACCTAACGCTGCCGATTTACCACGACCTCTAGCAGCCGTCAATGTGACTGTGCTCTTCAATGTCTTCTCTGCAATAGCATCCACAAAGGTCAAGAGGGCCTTGGCTTGGTCCACGGTCTTAGCCAAGGTTATCAACGATCCTACGGGTTGAGTGTCTTGTAGTGTATCTTTCATGCTGTCAAGTTCTTTCTGCTTCTCGGTTTTGGGCTCATCGAGGTCTGGCGGTGGCAGCGCCTTCACGTTTTTGCCTCCCGAAATTGGAAGCACATTGAGTTCGTCATCGATAACCAGACACGACTCGCAGCTTCCCAGGGACAGGATAAATCTCTCGTTAAATCGTGCGGTAACATCGTCGTGAGCCTCTGTCCGGTATCTCGAATGGACGTCCATCGATAGCGTGTACAGCTGCTTCAAACTGGTCATTCCCTTCAATAATAGCACGACAAGTCCGCCACCTTCCACAGTCTCTATTGTTCTTGCGAGGAGATTTGGGGTAATCGCTTCAAAATCCTGCAAGATGCACATGCCGTAGGTGTTTCCCAGGATCTTCTCCGTCTCTTTATAGTAAACATAGCGAATGTCGTGTAATGATACAAAAAGTTCAAACGGGTCTTCGGTATTGGCTTCGCGGATTCCTCGTTTAATATCTTTCTTAATCTTCAGCTCGCGCTTCTTCCGATGACTGCAAATCTAAAGGTCAATTCCGACTCGTGCTTGCCGCAAAAATTGGGTGTGCTAACCTGGTGAAGCCCAACAGCTTGTTCTTATATGCCCACAGCACCGACTTGTTCTGCTTTACATCCATACTCGACATAATATAGTGAAGATGGACAATGACATCCTTGGATCGGTCGCCAACGACGACGATAAAGCTTCTCTTCTTTTCTTGGACTCCATTGCGAATGAGCGCGGGGATGCGCGAATCCCTTTGAAAGTGTCAGTTGAGCATATTTTTTGCATGGAGGAGAAGCTTGGAACATACACTGCTTTGCGAACCATATCTTCGGCGTTATCAGTGCTCTAATTGCCTGTGAAGGGCAATATGAACCTGGGTTGAAGCGACTGGAAGCAGAGAGTTCGAAAGGCTGCGAAATGATTTAAGCTAGACGAGCCTTGCGATAAAGTCGTCCTCTCGAGAACTTTTTTGCAGGGATGCAATACGACTATTCTATATTAGGCCTAGCGCATCTTACCCCGATGACCAAGTTCATCCTCGGACTCACGGCCCCTGAAAGCTTATATAGCACCCTCCCCCCATGCCTTGCCAGGAGAACATGCGATGAATTGGACATATTAGTCTGTTTGTATAGTTGTATTTTTTTTTTTTTGATTTTCACAATGGCAAATGGCCCCTTTGTGGGGGCCATTGGACTATGGTACGTACCGATATTCGTCGCGTCCTTTCACTCCCTTTCTCGACCCCCAAGCTAACACGGTATACAGTTTTTGTATAATTATCACATGGCTGCCTATCACGTGGCAAGAGCATCCTTCTTTCGGTGCGTACGGCAATCCAATAACGCCGTGGGCAGCTACTAATCAGTTGCTAGTTCATCCCGTTCATGCCGCTATCACTGCGTTTTTCATTGCTGGCATTGTCCTACTGGCAATTAGCAGAACCAGTATTCCTACCCGTTTAGGAAGAGGACGTGGAGGAGCTGGTAGAGAGTATAGGAGTCATGGCGGCGGCATATCAGCGGCGTCTACGCCAGCTCGAATTGCTATTGCCCCGACACAACTCACTCCCCAAAGGCGGAGGCTAGTCTTCAGCCTTCTTGTTTTCTGTACTGTTATCCGTGTGGGAATGTTGAGAAAAATATCCGAAGCAGCTCAATGCTCAGCAAGAGATCTCGAGGTATGCACACATTCAAATCATTCTCGTCCCTTACTCAGCATCTTGTTGAATATTGCTCTTCTCTCTCTGCACATTTTCCCTACAGATCAGCCCCTTTCTTCTTATTTTCAATGCGGAGTAGCCAATACCTCATTTACCTAGAGGTTGGCATGGCAATTTGTATTTTGATACGTTTACTAATTTAAACAGCTTATATCTCTCCCTATTATATTCGCCATATATGATTTCGTCACTAGTCCGCCGAATTATAATGCGGATGATATAAGAGATTCTATCTCAAACAGCGCGTTAGAGGACCTATTCGATACAATAAGATGGTCACGGGTCCGCTACATCGTTCCTACCATCCTGTTAACTCTGGGAATATATCTCACCTCATCGCGATTACCGTCTGCTTTTGTTTGTTCCGAAGCATTGAATCAGCGCAGCTACACTGTTTGTCTCCAAGTTATG